CCCAAGCCTTCTGGAATATGCAGAGTATAACAAAGACTGGCATTGAACTAATGAATGCAGATCAACAAAGGACAGGAAAGACAACACTTTTCCACCAGGAAATGCCTTAGGGAGCCTCTCCCAGGCTCCAAAATCAAATTTGATTCAATCATACCCTGTCAGCATTGGGGAAATTCATCCACAGAATAACTGAGATATTTTATGTCTGTTGTTAAAACCCATGCTTCTCTGGAAGACAGAACAGCTTCACTAGGAAAAAACAAAATTTTCAGGAGAAATCATAAAACAAATATTTGGGCAAACTTTCTATAAATGAGGAAAGGCTAAAGATAATTGAAGATCTACTAGACATGGGCACAAGTGTAACAATAATTTCGCCAACATCTTGGCATCCAGATTGGCCTCTTCAGAAGGTAAATATTCAGCTCTTAGGGATTCGAACTTTATTTCAGGTAAAACAAAGTACAAGGTAGGTTGAATGTATAGGGCGAAAAGAACAGGTAGGGAAATTAAAACCATATTTAAGTAATATAGCAATGAATTTATGGGGCATGATTTGTTACAACAATGTAAAACCCAGAATAACATTTTTTCTAATCTCAGAAACAAACCATAAAATAAGAGAAATATTAGAAAGTATTATTCAGAACAGTCACTGGACATTCAGGCTGTATATAAACAAGCCACAACAGCCCCACCTTTAAGATGGTTAGCTGACAAACCTGTCTGGGTAGAACAAAGGCCTCTCACATTAGAGAATTTGCAGACATTAGAACAGCTGGTACAGGAGCAGCTAAATGTTTCAACATGTTGAAGAACTGACTAGTTCTTTGAACTTGGCTACATTTGCCACTACAAGAAATCTGGAAAATGGAGAATGGTAACAGATCTAAGAGCTATTAATAAGGTGATTAAGCCAATGTGCACTTTACAGCCTGGAATCCGTTTGCCTTCCCTACTACCTAAAGGAAGGTTTAGCCGGGCGGTGGTGGCGCACGCCTTTAATCCCAGCACTTGGGAGGCAGAGGCAGGTGGATCTCTGGGAGTTTGAGGCCAGCCTGGTCTACAAGAGCTAGTTCCAGGACAGGAACCAAAAGCTACGGAGAAACCCTGTCTTGAAAATAATAAAAAAAAAAGGATGGTTTATTATAGTGATTGATTTAAAAGACTGTTTTTTAACTCTACCTTTCCAAAAACAGGATAGAGAAAAATCTGCCTTCACAGTGCTTACTAATAATAATTCCCACACTGTTAAAAGATATAGGGAAAATTCTTCTCCACTTTGTGTCAATATTTTGTACAACAGCTATTGGAAATATTCACAAATAGTTTCCTCATTCTATAATTAACTATTATATGGATGGTATCTTACTAGCTGATTCAAACACAGATATCTTAGAAAAAATGTTTGAAGAGATGAAACAAAACAAAACCAGCTTGCCTTGTTGGGGATTGCAAATTGCTCCTGAAAAAAAAAATACAAACAGGAGATTCTATTAATTACCTAGGATATAAGATAAGATAGAGTTACAGAAAATTCAACCACAGAAAGTATAAATCAGGAGAGATCAATTTTTAACTCTTCAAAAAAAGGAATTGTAGATGCAACCATCACCAACAACCAAGAGATGGAAGAGAGAATCTCAGGCATTAAAGATAATGATAGAACAATAGATACATTAGCCAAAGAAAATGCTAAATCTAAAAAATTCCTGACACAAAACACCCAGGAAATCTGGGACACTATGCAAAAACCAAACCTAAGAATAACAGGAATAGAAGAAGGAGAAGAATCCCAGCTCAAATGCTTGGAAAATAATTTAAACAAACCATAGAAGAAAATTTTCTTAACCTAAAGAAGGAGACGTCTATAAAAGATATAAGAAGCTTACAGAGCACCAAATAGGTTGGACCAGAAAAGAAAGCTCCCTACCATATCATAACTGATGTCACTAGGAGGTCTGCTCTTTTCTGAAGGGAAACAGATCTGGGGGAGAGGGAAGGTGAGAGGGTTTAGGGAGGCGGAGAATAGGCTGTGGTTGTGATATAAACAGCAACAGCAGGGAAAATAAACCAACGATTATGAAGTGGAAGTAGCCCTCGTTAGAAATCACGGATATAACATTCTAAAATAGTGATCTACACAGTTCTTTTTACCCATACGCAATAATCAGGAATTTCAGTACTGTCAGACTAAAAAAGCTCTTTTAATTCCGAGAAACAACTCCTTAGAAGCAAAAATACATGGAGTAGGACTTCACGAAGATTTAGTTCTTATGACTAAACCTTAAACTGCAGTGCTTATGTGAGAAATGGCCCCAGCAATTCCCCAAATAATATCTACTTTAAATAAACTCGCTGAATCCACTTTGGCTGTCTCATTATTCAATTTGCTTTCAAGGAACGTGGTGATGAAAGAAGAAAAATACTTCTAACATAACCATACTGGCAGGAGCAGCGACATCATCAGTATTCAGAGAATGTCTTGGCAGGTGAAACCTTCAGAAAAAGAAGGAACACCAGCTAATCCAAGTTATCAAAATAGCCAGAGTACTTCTCCTATTATGTGTTTCTAATGCAGAAAAAGTACACGCACAACATCATTATGTTTAAATTTTAGACAAGGACGACGGTTCCTCACAGAAACCGTGATGGAAGTCAGCGTGTTTACGAGAGCAGCTGTGAGCGGAGCGGGCGGGCTCCGTGTGGAGACTTAGGTAACATGGCGATGCCATGTGGAAGGCTTCACCGTGGATTTTAACCTGATTTGAAGCATATGAGTGCTATTTTTAAAAAGGAGAAGAGTTGTGGAAACAGGTTTGGAGGTAGAAAGCTTATCTCACTCAGTAGACGATTGTGGTTACAACAGCCAGCAATGTTACTAGTAGATCTGAGTAATCACTTACAGTGTTCGTGTATACCATTCTCAACACACCTCCTAGGATCTGAACGGCCCCTGAAATGACTGAAGGCCACAGAGGAACTTGAATTTACTTCAAGTAATTTCTATGACACCCCCCCACCAACAATAAAATATAGCATATAATAAAAATATTGCTTTTCATTCTCAGAAGAAAATGCCTATTCTGATAATTCAACATTAGTTCACCACATAAACCTGGAAACTGAGAAGACACACACCCAACCCCGAATGAGTGAGAACGCTTGTCTGGTCACGCTCTCCCGTCTGCTCACTTCCACCACCTGCTCTGATCTCTCCTCCTTTTCTCTTTCAATTATGATCTTTAGTTGCACTCGTGGTTGTTTATGAATGTGTAATTCTTTCTCCTCTTCAGTCTTCCTTCTGGACTACGTTTCTCGTGACCTTGGTCTTCTCTTACCTTGGAGACACTTAACTTCTAATTACTAAATGTCCTCTGGATCAGAGGTCGCAGGGTTATTTTAGCAGAGGAGCCTCCGTCCAGCCTCAGCACGGCAGCAGCGCTGGAAGGGTCTCAAGGTATCATCTGGTAGAGAGCCCTGCCAGCAGGAACAGGTGGCCGACTCCTTAATTCTTTCTTTTTTAAGATGACTAAAGGTTTCGATCATAAACATTTCACATGGCATAAAGATTCTTCTGACCAGTTAGTGAAAACTGAGGTAAGACTGGGGCAAATGTATTTAGGAATGTATATGCATACACAGATATGTATGCAACCATTAATGTATTTAGGAATGTATATGCATACACAGATATGTATGCAACCATTAAAAAATGAGGCCATGCACCAGAAAGACGTGTACGGGAGGATCTGAAGGTAGGAAAGGGAAGGGGGAATAATCAAACTATACTATAATATTAAAATCGTATAATAAAAACATAATTTTAAAAGTTGTGGCTGAACACAATTATTTACTAAAATACAAGAAAGAATTCCTTTATCACTCTGAGCTCTAAGTTTCTCATATAAATCCAGGTAATACTGCTTACTGCAGTTTCTGTAAGGGTTCTAAAGCATGAAGAGGAACGGCACACATGTAGAACTGGAAGAGAACAGAGGAAAGTGTGAAGAACCTGCCCTCCACGCTGTGCCAGGTTCCCAATCCCATCTCAACCCTTTACCAGCTGGGCAACTCTCAGTAACACATTCCAGTTCTCGGAGTTCAGCTCCCAGGCAGCCTCGTCTTGGTACCAGGCCGATTCATCCGCAGGTACAGCGAGGACAGCACAGACTGAGGTGCCTGGTCTACACAGATCCTCAGGAAATGCTAAGTCCCCACTCCCCATCCACTGCTATGCGAGCTGGTCTCCTCGCGTTGACTACTTTAATGTGCTTGTGTGGAATGCAGGAAAAACGAAGGTTCAGGAAGGATATAAACCTTTCCTCTGCGATTTGACACACAAGACAAAACCCTTTACTTCATCAGTCCTGCTTTGAAAATCAGAAGGAAATGAGCTAGAGTGGCCTTTAGCAAACCTTAAGCAACTCTGGAAGATGAGAGACATTGCTCGACGGTGAGGATCAAAGGGGGAAGAAGAGCTGCCTAAGGGAAGCACCCAGAGCTGCTCCTGGGTCACTGATAGCAAGAGCCATAAAGAGTACGGTTTGGAAGTCTAGCAGACTTCCCATAGGTCTTCAGTGCTCCATTTATAATAAAGACAAAACCGACAGGACAGGGTTAGAAAACAAAAACAAAAACACACAAGCTACACAAGTAAATAAAAGAAAATTATCTCTCATAGCTAAGAGAGTTGGGAAAACCGAGATCCACTTCCAACGAAGGTCAAGTCCCGGCTCCTTCTCCCAGTCCTTGGGTGATGGAAGTTGGAAATGGCTCTCTTGGCTTCTTGGCAAAGGTCAAGCTATGACAGCTTTTCCATATGACAGATTCACCTTCACTGTCTTCACATTGGTGATTAGGTTCTTCACAAACGAAGTAGGATTGTGGGATATGGCGAATGTCTACTCCACGGCATGCATCTAACTGATTGATACAGGATATATCATCTCTTCATTAGATTGCTATAAGAATTGCTTACACGAGATAATAATGCTCACCTTATTATGTATAAAAATAATCCTGAGGTCAGGGATAAGGACAGCGTAGCTTATGAGGAGATCCTGCACATGTTTGAGTTCGTCTTTACACTTTTTAGTGGTTGAGTAGAACTGCTTCCTTACAGGCAGGTTCTTGAACAGCTTCAGGGCAGTTACCGTAGTACCTGTGGGCAGACAAGAAGCAAGCACTTTAGATGCGGAAGGACTGCCCATCTCTAAAGGCACACAGTCAGTAATCAACCCCTTCTAGCATTAAGACCAATCCTCTGCCAAGCATGGAGGTCCAAACAAGGTCATGGCTGTGAACTAGCACAGACTCTTCCTGCTCAGACCCGCTGCCTACTGCAGAGAAACAGCCTCACTAGAATACAATCTGGGAATCTGCTGACAGTCAAACCTTCTGGAGATGCCAGAGCCTCTGCATTTTAAGTACAGTATAAACACGATGTAAGACTATACAGAACATGTAATGACCTTTATCATGCCACAGTATTTACATAAAACACCATAGAATTATTTAGTGTAACTTACCTCACCTTCAAAGGAGAATATTGAAAACAGAAATTAATCAGGCATGGTGAAATATGCCTGCCATCCAAGCAAGGAGGCTGAATGGGGCTTCACCACACAAAGAGAAACATCTCTCTTCCAGAAAAAAAAAAAAAAAAAACAAACCTCTCTAGAGATTTTTAAATCATTTCCTATGTGCAAGTATTTGGGCTGCGTACATATGTGTGCACAATGTGTGTGTGGCGCCCACGGAGGGCAAGAGAGGCAGTCTTCGGTAACTGGAGTTACGCGCAGTTCTGAGCAATCATGGAGCTGTTGGGAATTGAACCACAACCACAGTCCTCTGGAAAAGCAGTCAGTGCTCTTAACCACCGAGTCAACTTTCTAGGCCCCAAGAAACATTTCTTAAAATCAAAGACTAAAATCATTTTCCACTGGAAACCCTAAAATTTAAAATATTTTTGCAAGAAAAATGTTTAAAAATTTTAGTCATCAAGTTTTTAACAAGAAGGCCAGCATCAAAGTTTTCATTTGTGGCACCAGAAGACACACAAATCACACAGTATTCGGGGACATTTAGAAACCTACATCCAAATAGCCAGGTGTGGTAGTGTGTACCTGGAACCCCAGCACTCGGGACAGTGAGGTGAGGCTCTGCATAGCTCAACGCTGGCCACACAGGGAGCGCCTGCTCCGCCACACAAAAAGGAGAAAGAGTCACAGCACTCCTAGTGTTTCTCACGGTGCGGACCTGGGGTCTCCACAGCTCTCCGCTACCAACCCTTCCACATCACCTCCGTTGCTTTGTGAATCTGAGAACCCTTAGGACTGCTTCTACCAAGGGGCCCATGGCCACCCCACTTGGCTAAAATGAAGAGTGGGCAAGAGCAAACCAAGATCAGGGCACCCACACAATAGAGACAAGACCAGTTACCTAAGCCAAGGACAACTCCAGAAGCCTAGAGCCCTGTGCAAACCCACCAACATGAGCAGCCCCAACAATGTGCCTCCTTCAGAGGCCAGGACCCCTATTGTTTTAGCCCCAAGAAACAGTTTACCTGAAGCACAACACAAGGAATCCTACAAGGGCCTTGAAGAGGATGGATAAAGGAAGACAGTGAAAGCACAAGCCAACAGCTGAACTAAATAATAAGACCAATTCAAACCACAAAGTAGAGTTCAACAAAGAAATAGAATCACCAAAGAAAACCCAAAACTGATATAAAACTAGGAATAAAACCTTAGAAAACCAGACAAAACCCTGAGAGGTATGCCTCTCCAACAGACTGCAGGACACGCAAGGGGAAACTTCAGGCACTGAAGACAAGGTAGAAGTGAGCTGGTGGCACAAAAATACTCAACAAAATACTTGCAAACCGAGTCCAAAATGATCATCCATTGTGATCAAATAGGCTTCATCCCAGCAATGCAAGGATGGCTCAATCTATGAAAATCAAAAAATGAAATCCACTGAAAACAAAAACATGATCATGTCATTAGATGCAGAAAGAGTCTTTGACAAAATTTAACAAGCCATTATGACAGAAGTCATGGAGAGACCAGGACAAGGAACAGACCTCACCACAATGAAAGCAATTTACAGCAAGCCAACAGCCAATCAGACTAAAGGGGGAGAAATCCAAAGCACTGCTACTAGAATCAGGAATGAGAAAAAGTCCACTCTGTCCATCCCTAGTCATTGCAGAACTCTTAACTAGAGCAATAAGACAGCTCAGGGGATACAAACAGTAAAGGAAGAAGTCAGAGTACATTTATTTGCATATGATATGCAAATATATAAGGTCCTTATATATACGGGTCTTTAAAAACACCACCAGAAAATTTCCACAGTACATAAAAACTTTCATTAAAATAGTACTACACAAAATTACCACACAAACATTAGTAGCCTTCTTTTAGACAAGTAAAAAAGGGGCTAGGAAATCAGGGAAACACCACTTTCCACGAGAGTGTAAAAACAAACAAACAGAAAAACTTGGACTAACTAACCAAGTAAAAAACATGTATAATAAAAATTTGAAGGCACTAAATAAATTGAAGAAGATATCAGAAGATGGAAAGATTTTCCATGCTCATGGTTCACTGGGATTAATATTGCAAAAATGACTATCGTGTGAAATACAATTCCCCATCAAAATTCCAACATAATTCTCCACAGAAATTAAAAAAAAATCAATCTTTAGCTTCATATTAAAATACACACACAGAGACACAGACACCCCAAGACAAATTTTAAAAAACAAAAACAAAAAACAAGAGAACCAAAACAATCCTGAAAAATAAAAGAACTTTTGGAGGTCTTATCATCTTGGATTTCAAGTTGTATCAAAGAACAATAGTAACAAAAAGAGCACTGTATTGGCATAAAAAGACACATTGATTAACAGAATTGGACTGAAGAACAAGACATAAGTGTACACACCTATAGGCACCTGATTTTTGACAAAGAAGCCAAAAATTCACAATGGAGAAAAGCCAGCTTCATCAACAAATGGTGCTGGTCAAACTGTGTAGCTGTATGAAGAAGAATCCAAATAGATCCCTGTTTTTCATCCTACACAAAACTCAACTCCCAATGGATCAAGAACCTCAGAGCAGATCCTCTGAAAACATGCTGTTGACAGAGACAGGAAAAGTCTTTCTGAACAGAACAGGCACAATAACCAACAGCTAACAAGCAAGACCTCACTAGACTGAGAAGCCCCCGAATGACGAAGGACACCAGACTTGCAGTCAAGTGGCTACAGAATGGGGAGATCTTTGCCAGGTTCATATCCAGTGGATGGTCAATATCTAAAACAGACAAAGAACTAAAAAACCTGAACATTAAAAAAACAACCCAACTTAAAAACGGGGCACAGAACTAAACAGAAATGGCTGAGGAACAAGGAATGTTCAACCTCAGTCATCATGAAAATGCAAATCCAGAGTCTCTAAGATTTCATCTTACCCCAGTCAGAATGGTCAAGTTCAATAAAACAATGACAGTTCATGCTGGCAAGGATGGGGAGCAAGGGGAGTACTCCTCCATTGCTGGTGGGAGCGCAAACTTGTACAGCCAATATGGAAATTGGTGTGTTGGTTCCTCAGGAAGCTGGAAACTGACCCACCTCAAAATTTAGCTACCCCACTCCTGGGCATGTACCCAAAGACTACACCTGACCACAAAAATGCCTGGCTCACCCACCCTCGCTGCTGCTCTACTCCTGATAGCCACGAACAGGAAACTGCCTCGATGTCCATTAACCGATGGATGGTAATGAAATGGGCTGCATTTACACTATCAAATTATTCAGCAGGGAAAGGGTGGAGCTAGAAGCAATCATCCTGAGCAAGGCAACCTGAACCCCGAAAGAAAAGTATTGCATGTTTTCTGTTACATGTGGGTGTTCTCTGTGTGTTTCAATCACAAACAACCGCAGCAACCGGGAAGGAGGAGCAGATCTGCCAAGGAAGGGAAGGACACAGTGTTTTAAAGAGATAAGAGGCAACTAGAATAAGAGGATTAGATGGACAAGAGGCTGGGAGAGCAGGGTAAAGGACGGACTGTGGGAAGGGACAGCTAACATTAACCACCTCTGGGAAACCACATGGCCTTCTATTACTGCAGGCTGGGAGAGCAGGGTAAAGGACGGACTGTGGGAAGGGACAGCTAACATTAACCACCTCTGGGAAACCGCATGGCCTTCTATTACTGCAGGCTGCTCCGCATCCAGTCTCAGTCAATTGTGCCAGCAGCAGGGCAACGATCGTCCATTACTTGTTGTCCAGGAAGTCACACTGCTGTGCCTTCTTAACCAGACCCTCAAATGTCACGGTCTCTGAGAATCTCCCGTCCGCCCTGTACATGTTCAGTGGTTTCATTCCACTCTCGTGACTATTTCCTGTGTCTCACCAATCCTTGACTCCTGAATATTAGGGGGAGGTCACTACTATAATATGACAGGCTGGAGCAAGGCATGTGGATAGAAATCAATGCCCCACATGGACAAGGTTATGAAAACAAAACATTATTAGATAATTTTAATATACATATTATGTTCTAAATACTACATTATACCCAACCCACATACCCATAAATTACTTTTTCTCCTTAAAAGAGCCCAAGTAAACTAAGAATCATAAGAAATATAAAAACTAGATGTTTTAATAAAACTTACTGCTGGGTGGTGGCGGCACACACCTTTAATCCCAGCACTTGGGAGACAGAGTCTGGGGCCAGCCTGGTCTACAGAGCTAGTTCTAGGACAACCAGGATTATGCAAAGAAACCCTGTATCAATAAACAAACAAACAAAAAAAAACCTTACAGATAAAAGGGATTTTTTTATTTCAAATTAAATGTCTGAATCTGAATGCTGAAATGTCCTTAAAAAAAAAGGGACCAAGTAACACCGGCTAATAGGGAGGAGGCCTGGCGCCCCGTTGTATTTTACAGAAGGAACCACTCAATTCTCTAACTTTAGCACATTCTTCAAACACCAAAATTAAATTGCAGTTCCGCAATTGTTCCATACGGCCCTATGTCATGCCACTTAAGACAGAAGCTATTTACACTTCTGATGTAAAGGCGGGCGCTGAATTGTCAGAAAGGATTCTAAAGGAATGAACACAGTTCTGCTGCTGTGCTAAGCCAAACTCCACACCCACAGTCCCCAGCGCAGCAGTCTACAGCAGGGGTTTCCACGACACAGAGCATTATATTCCTTCCAAAGCATCTGCTCTGGAGCATCGGCTAGACGCACACAACCTATGGGCGGGAAAAGAGAGCTGTGATGACCATAAATAACCAGGCACCCCTGGGAAAAAGCCTTGGGAAGCTGAGAGTTAATCCGCTTCCTTGAAGGAAAGCAGGGAGAGGGCAGGAGAGATGGGACGGTGGCTAAGACTGAAAAATGTCTCTTTCCTGCATTCCTTCAGTTCCTTCGTGTCCATCTTTTCAAAAATTAGCCAACTATAAAGACTATGGGTAGATTTGGTGAATGGAGAGAAGATGCAGTACCACCTGCCTTAAAATAAAAACCAAGTTCACTTCCTGCTGCACTGTGCTTGCTCCAGTGCACTTCCTGTCTGTGCGCTTGCTCTAGCGCTCTAGCGCACTTCCTGTCTGTGCGCTTGCTCTAGCGCTCTAGCGCACTTCCTGTCTGTGCGCTTGCTCTACTTCTGTGTGCACTGCACCCTCTTAATCAAAATTACAGTTTTACCTTCCAAAGGTGAGGGGGAGTAGAAAAGACTGTGCTGGTCTTGAAGAGGACCAGAGTTCAGTTGCCAGCACCCACATCAGGTGACTCCCAACTCCTGTAACCTAACTACAGCTCCAGTCGATCAGACAGCCTCTCCTGGTCCTTGTAGGAACCAATACAGAAGTGGGAGGCAGGCATATACACACAGACACGCAGAGACAGACACACACTGGTGTACAATTAAAAACAAATATTTTTAAGAGGAAAAAAAGAAAACCAGTTATGGTTAAAAGTGTAATGAAGAGATGAGAAGAACAATTAAAATAACAAGCACTGAAACCAAGATCACCTTCAATGGCTAAAACAATCCATAAAACAAATATCTGTACCCAAAGAGCAAGAAAGAAATCTTCCATAAACCACATTTAAATATGTACAACGTTTCGGTGTCTAGTTGAGATTTGTTGGAGGCTGCCCCTGTAGCTATGTGTGCCGTCTGCAGGGACCATCTCACCCGAGGACATGAAGAGTGACTTCTAAGGGCATTTGCATCGCAGTGGCGTTTAGTCCCCAAGAACCTCAGATGCACAGGTATAAATTAGGATGGCCGAACTGCAGTTTTATCTTACATAGAAAATATTTAAATGGAAGCTAATGACAGCTGGTGAAATGTGAGTCTGAGATTCAGTGGCTTACAAACCATCAACACGAAGCAACACTACCGCAAGGGCACTTTTACTCGGCACAGGGTTGTATAATTTGTCTATCTAGAGCAATCTGAAGTTTAGATTTTTTGTTGTTGTTGTTGTTGTTGCTGTTACCTAAGCAATCGGGTATAGTGAGGTGGAAAAAGTGAGTTTAAAAAGTCGTAGTGGTTTTGTAACTACTGACCTTTCGAGTGTGTTGTTTCCCGAGTTATGAAACAAGCTAATGAAAATAAGATGCATTTACCGACTACAAAACTTCCTCAACACGCATACCTAATTTAACTCACTAAAGGTGCAAGACTGACGTCAGTAGAAAAAGAAAAAAAAGCGGTGAAAGGGCAGAGATCAGATGGAGCCCTTCCGTGAGGATTGTTATTTCACAGTTCCCATGGAGACGAACACAGAAAAGCATGAGAAGTTTGATGATACAGAGCCACGGGCCACCCAGATCAGACCGGCACCCGCTGAGATAAAAATAAATACTTTTAAGTTTTATAAGGCGACAGGGTTACTTCACAGCGGTCTCCTAGGAGGACGAACGCCTTCTAGTGCTTTCCTAACGTGAACTTTGACGATCTAGGCTGAGAGGATTTCTAAAAAGGGAAGATGTCTAAGAAGTAAAATCAAGTTAGACCTATCTTTGTTTAATACATATTGAAAAGATGATAATGTATTATTTTGCTAAGATAGATAGTATTTATTACATAGCAAACTAATTATAGATGAGTTCTTTTTTATTGACTATGAACAAGTGTAAATGAGAGCTTTCTTAGAATTTCCTATTAGTTCTTCTTCCCCTGTGGATACAAAAAAAAAAAATGTAAATTTCTAATGAGCAAATGTAATCACTAACTATGCTGACAATTTCCAAAATTAGAGACAGAGTGTGTGGACTTACCAGACTTAAAAAAGTAAATTTTATAACGACTGAAGCCATTATTTTAAAAGTAAAGACAATGTTTTAACATTAAAACGAATTCACAAAAATTGAAGTGCTCTGGTCATTGAAAACAAGGAGCCATGAAGTTAAATTAAGATCAACAACCCAGGTGGGAGGAGGGGAAGAGCAGCAATTACCCGACTCATCCTTCACAGACCAGAGATTCTGCGACCTCAGCTCTCCAGGGGAGTCACCTTTGACACCGTCTCCGCTACCCATCCACGCTGGGGAAAGCTTAGGCGCTTTAGTGAACACAGACTAAAGAGACCATTTTCTACCTTAGGATTAGTTCTTAGAAAACGTAAAAATATACAAGTAAAACTACATACACATGTGCAAAAAACAATACTAGGAACAATGGCTGGTAATTATTTATCTCAGAATAAGACAGAGTGAAGAAGTGGACGGGTGTCAGGCAGGACGGCGCTGGAAGGTTGGTAACTGGGAACTGACAGCAATTACAAGATTGACTACCGCAGGCCTATGTGTGAAGTTTTCCATTCGTACATATGCTGTCAACTTATTCCATCATAGTACCTTGGGGTTACAGTCCATTACAAGTCAACGAGACTTTAGGTACCTCAGCAGACTCCTGTCCTGCGTCTGCAGAGGTGACAGTGGTGATCCAGCACCAGGACAACAACTGCTGTCACAGCAAGTCACCCAGGCACCCAGCCTTAACTCCTTCCTCTTTAGGATGGCTCCGCTCCCTTGAAGGATGGTCACATTTCATCAAGACCAACCCAAAACACTGTCTAAATTCAAGACAAAACTCTTTAAATGATGATGATGATGATGATGATGATGATGATGATGATGATGATAATAATAATAGTAATAATAATGATAGACAGGAAAATATGCTCCAAAGCACTCACTTACCTTGACCAAGATGTGAGGGTTTCTGAGAAAGTATGTGGCCACTGCCATCTAAAACATATTGGGTACTAAAGTCATCAGCAGCTGTCCTTGTTGTGACGACCACCTGGAAACAACAAACCAAACCAAAAGGACTTTTATTTCAAACTAATACAGTGACCACTCTCTCCCGCCTTTATCTTTTTTCCTTATTTGAGATAAGAGTCTTGTTATGTCGTTTAGACTAGTCTCAAACTCCGGATTTTCACGCCTCCTTCTGAGTCCTGGGATCACAAGAATCTATCACTGCAACCCACCGAAGTGATCGTTTACCTGCGGCAACGGGGAGAACTGTCACAAAGCTGGCAAGGAAAGCAATGCCTACAACTCTAGCACTTGGGGTCTAAGGCAGGAGAATTGCTGTGAGTTCCAGACTAGGGTGGGATACAGAGGAGAAACCCTGTCTCAGAAGAAATGAGGAAAACCAACAAAAATATTATCACACATTAATATTGAAGATGCTATTACTTAGTAATTCTTTTTCGAAGATTTACTTTATTTTAACTGAGTGTGTGTGTGAGTGTGATTGTGCACACACGTGTGCAGAGGTGTGTGTACGGGGGGTGTATGTGATTATGCACAGACGTGTGCAGATGTGTATGTACACAGGTGTGCAGGTGTGTGATTATGTATACATGTGTACGTTCCTTACGAGGCCATAGGCTTCAGGTCCCTTGGAGATGAAGCTACAGGAGACTGTGAACCTCCAGGAGGGTGCTAGGACTGAACTCAGGGTTTCTGGAAGAACAGCACATGATCTTAAATATTAAAATGGGGCTCCAATCCCTGGCTTGATAAATTACCGTGAAAACTTCTCTGGTAGTAACTTTTGGAGATACTCTTTGAAACAACACAGCAGGCTGGGGTTTGTCTGTTTGTTTTCTGAAGACAGGGTTTCTTTGTGTTGCCCAGTTGGCCTTGGAACTCGCTCTGTAGACCAGGCTGGCTTCTGTCTCCCAAGTGCTGGGATTAAATGCGTGAACCATCACAAGTGAAGGCAGCATGTGATTTTTTTTACATTGCAACTAAACTAATATTTGAGCATTTAATTAAAATACAAACTACTATACTGCAAATGGCCATTTGTATTATATAATACACAAACGTAAAAGAAAACACTTCAATTGTACCAAGGGTATCTGCTTTTGAATAATTCTCATAAAATTTATGGACAAATGAGAAATTGTTTAGTAATCATTTCCTTCCCTTATGTATTTTATACAAAACATTTCTGAATTTCAAGTTTATAGTTTCAAATACTAAAATTCAAAATATATAAGTATTTAAGGATATTTTTCTTAAACTCAAGTTGAAAATTTAATGTTTAAGGGTAAATTTTTCATTAATTAAAAGTCAGCATTAAGCATATGAGCATAGGAGAATATGAAAATACCTCCTTATGATGTCATCTGTGAAAACAGAAATTTAAGAATCCTGTACTTTTCTGAACCCCCTACATCCCACATCCTATTATCTACCTGGCAGGAAACACAGCCTTGATGGAAAATAAAATGAAAAACAGACAAAAAGAAATGGTGAAGAGCGGAGATATGGTCAGGGGAAGCAAGATGGCCCGGGACAGAGCAGCCCTGTGATAAGGAGTCATCTCTCCTGGCTCTCCTTGACTCAGCACAAGAGAACCTACAATAATCCAGCTGCACTGCTTGGGCTCCTCTGGGTCCAGTTAGAGTCTGTATTTGATGGTTCTACCATCTGTCCTCAGTAGATTTACTGGTGCCATATGCTCTGTGGAACACACGGGCACCATGTGTGGGTACCAGTATATCGCTGCTGCCGCCACCACCACCACCGCCATCACCATCCCCCCCCACCAGACCCTACTCCATCTGTGTGTGTGTGTGTAGGTATATGGGTATATACATATATATTATGTGAGCTATATAGGGATATATTGATATAGATAGACACTAGATAAGTAGATGAGAGATAGAGAAATAAAGATCTTCTCTGTGTGTGTATAGGTATATGGGCATATACATATATATTATGTGAGCTATATAGGGATATATTGATATAGATAGACACTAGATAAGTAGATGAGAGATAGAGAAATAAAGATCTTTGTTAGCCTGGAGAACTAGCAGAGACTATTAGTTCTGAAATGTCCATCCAACTTTTACTAGGAGTGTTCGCTCAAGCTGCTATTTGCATGATAATTATTCAAAAAATGGAAACAAAGAATGTTACGTAAGACAAAGATGTATGTGTCTGTGTATTCCAGCTATTCTACTTCCATTCCATAGGTTGACGATGCAGAACTTTAACCTTGACCTTCCCTGTCAAACCCCTGGTCTAAATTATCCAATGCATTATTGGTTTTGTTTACCAAAAACAAAGAGAACAATAAGTGGTATAAATTGTTTTCTGTTTTATTATTCCACAATCACTCCTTTAAAAATAATTCTTCATGGAAACAACTGCTTCCACAAAATGCCAAGGTCAAATTGAATCCTATTTCTGTTCTCCAAAGAGCCAGTCACCTGATGTAATGTTGGTGTCACTGAGCAAAGGCCGCTCTGGACTCAGAGTCCCAGTACAAACCCTTCTAGTGGCTTCAGGATGGTCCTGAGAAAAGGATGACACTTTCACCTCCAGGGAGGCGATGAGAAGAGGGAGATCTAAGGCGTGGTAAGGTTACATGGGACTTGGTTTAAACATGGGCACGGATCTGCTATGACACTAACTTGTTCATGCTTTAAACGTATCAGTGAACAGTAAACCCACACCAACCTAGATAAAGAAGCTGAAGTTCAAAGAAAGGAAACAGGATTTTAGTGCTACAATATTAGCATTTATGTTAAACTTTTAATAAAAGCATACTATGGCTTCCAACAATAAAATTTCATAAATGTCAGTTTTCAGGGCACTATGGAAGTTTATTCATCTGGAAGATGGTTTGTGATGTATTGTAAGACAATGAAGAAAACATATATAGCCCTGTTTTATAAATTCATGAGGAATTATATTTCAAGGGTTCATCTCATCACGTGGCCCCATATCCCAGGGAGGAAACCTCTTGCTGGACAGGCCAGGGTCACAGGACATTAGCAGTGCAGCAGAAGCCTGTGCCCGGCACTACAATCAGGGTCTCTGATAGCACCCACAACCTCTGGGGATTCTTCCTAGAAACACTGAGCAACTGTGGAAGAGGGCGAGCCCAGTGACATCAGAATTAAGATGACATCTTTAAGAATTCTTCAGAGGACTGTCAGGCTTATATGTCCTCTCTATTATTAAAAGTGGGCCCAATTATAAAACTAACATTACAAAAAAGGATCTCAATCCTATGCAAGCACAGACTCCTACAGGATTTAGATGACACAGGAACAAAGTTTCTTAGGAAACATCCTAAGTCAAAGTCTTCCTCACCCAAATTCATTCAAGGCCATGGGGATAAGCCTGATTTGTTTTCTTTTTCTTTTCTACTGAGGTGGAGCTGGCTTTTGGTTTGTTTCTTTGGTTTCAAGACTTGAATCCAGAGTCCTCCACACGCTTGGCAGGTGCGCTACCAGAGCTACACCAGCAGCCGCAGCCCGGCTTTTGGATGAATCGACGTTGTGGCACAGAAACGTGAGTCAGGCAGCTAAGATAATGTCTTTCTCTTTCTGGAGGCTGAGAGGTCTACCTGCCTGGCTATGCATAGACATACACTAATGGATGTCCTCTGACTTCCACATTTCCAGAAACTTCCATGTGGGGAGACCAGCAACAGGAACAGCTGCCTGTACCCTTTTCAAAGCAGTTCTATTGCCTGGAAAGAGGCTCCATTTAGGAAGCAGGACATTCCAACTGTTCCCACAACCTCCAGCCCTTAGTCACACTAACGTTTGACCATCACGGCTGTGACCGGCACAAGAAGCGCTGGTACCGAAGGACACAGGTTTTACTCGCTTCCTTCAGTCTCAAGGCGGATGCTGTTTCCTGCTGCTTTATGGCTCTCCTAGCTTCTGAGTCTACCCCTCCAAGCATGGGGCTCAAAAACCACTACAGATCCTGTGCTCGCTCTCTACAGAATGACATCTAATGAGCGTGACTGATCAGAGTAATAGCAGGCTCACTGTGACGCTCTAATACTATTGCATGGATGACCAACAAATGTGAATGTGACCAGGAGACAATGGCTAGCAAAAAATGAACTTGCCTATAGAATGAAGACCTTTGGTGGAAATTAGGAGGAATTTGCCTATGAATGGCTACAAAGTTTCAGAAAAGATTCCCCAACAAGAGGAGTGTAAACATACTTGAAAGCCTGCAGACCTGGATAAGCGACTGAGTTTATCGTGGTTTAAGCACAACTGCAAACTGTTTTCTACACTGGAGTCCCGAGCAGGAAAACCTGTAGCTGCACACCATGTATCCTCTCACTGTGTCTAAGAGACAAGGCACAGACTCCGAGTACAGAGTCAGTGGAACAAGACAGGCTGTGCTCCAGTACACGCCCGATTTTGGTAAGTTGTATGAACACACTGAAAAGTAGCAATGAGAAATTCAGGAACAGTAATTTATCATCATTCAAAAGCCTTGAGGACTTACATAATTCAATGTGCTATGCTTCTGTAGAACCAGAAGTGAAGACCTGCTTGCATCAGTACCACCAACCCCAGAGTAATGCCTGAATTGCGACAAACTACGATAACACTAGGACCCAAGAGCGTTTCATCTCCACTACAATGAGGGATCATTACAGACTGCTTTGAAATTAGGGTAAGGAAATTCTGTAAGAATTTTCCTCAGCAGTAATATGGAGAGATGGATCCACGGAAGACCTACACAGAAGCTTAGCCATGAACTAGACTTTGAGACAAAGGTTAATGACCAGGACTTTACTGCAGGAGAGGGCAGAGCACTGTCCTGAGCTGGGAATGGACCTCACCAAGACTTCATCAAGTCCCTGAGTGCTGACTGCTTGTTCTGCATGACCTGGGCAATATGCATCTCTCTTCTGATGATGTGAAGGAGACCCAGATGTGAGACACGTTAGCAAGCAACACTCTTGGCAGCACACATCCTAACGCAGGGAATCTGGGCGGTGCACAGAGGTGCACAACATACCATCAAACCTAATCATTACATGTCTAAAGACTCCACGACCAAATCATGCAAGCTGAAAAGTTTGATCTGTATCAAGTTAACGAGAGGCAGAACCGGCCTGAGCCAACACTAGTCAGAAAGCGGTTACCTTTGAGGACTGTTGATGAGGGAACATATAGAACCTTCTGAAGCAATAGGAAATGCCTTTATTGTGATCTAGAGTATATATAAGACCTAACTGCTGTCGGTGCACACACAAATGTAAACACACATATATGTACGTGAGTTTATAATAGATTTGTAAAGGGAAAGTCTTAATGTTTTTAAGATAAATTTACACAGCACTGCAACATGTAAACTGTAAATTCTAAAGGTTCAAAAGATTTAAATTTCTCTATTGCCGTAATACTTTGATAATCTTTGATAAATCTGATGAGTAAAATTATTTCAATTATTTGTTCTTGAGGCCTTTTGAATATCTCAAACATAAAAGGCAAAGTGATGAATGTGGGTGTTGAGTGAACTTAACTAATCTAAGACAAGCAAGAAGACAGAAAGCAGCAGACAAGCAGAACTGGCAGGCAGAGCAGAGCCGCAGTCGGAGTGGGAAGTCACATTTCTGCAGACGAAGTGCACAGCTGCCACCTAGCAGACAAAGTTGGTGTGACCTCTGCAAGGCCGGGCAGAGCTTCAGAAAACAGACACACCAAAACACGTTTCCAGACAACACTCTCAAAACAAAGAGCTTAAATCCTACCTGCTAGTTTGGACAGCAGCTAACTGATCAAATATTTACGCTCTAAAGTAGCCAATCAAAGCTCGAAGCACAGGGCGGGTACTGGGAAGCTCCGAGGTCTCAAATCCTATTCCACTTTACAGTGTACGCTCTTTACTAGTTCCAAGGCTGTGGGTTGCCGTGTACAGCCTCCAGAAGGACAGGCAGTTCCCGGGTGTACCCTCTATTTGCTCTTTCCCGAACTCTACCTGGAGTCTCGAGTGAACTCTACATAAAGCAGGTGCCAGGTAACAGAAAGAAAGAAGCACATTGTGCGCTGGGTGCTGGGGAGAGGTGCGGAGCGCACTTATGGTTTCCACCTCAGGGGAGCTCTGAGCATCTGCAGGAAGTGGGGCCTGGTCTTCTTTGTTTTAACAGCAGAGTTTCCCCACTGAGGCTTCATCACCTCTGCAGCGTTTCTCCAGCCTACTAAAGGCAACACTTTACAGAGCTCTAAAGTTAAGGAGTAACTGATTCCTTGGTTAAGCATGGGCACTTGAGCATGCGCGTGCGCACACACACACACACACACGCGCACACACGCACACGCACGCATGTTTGCACGCACAGACTACAGTGAATCTGGAAAATAATCCAATGGGCAGAGAAGGCACTTTTCCTAAACACTAGCTTAGATGCCATTACTTCATTACTTTCTGGCACTTGACCGTTCTGACCTAAGTAGGGCCTTCCAGCCTTAGCACAAGTATGATATGGCCACGGCCTCACAGTTACGGTCACCCTTACCAGCACAAGACACCTTCCAACAGTAACAGGCCCAACTCCATACACTAACAATTTAATAAAGGAGGCCACTCAAGTCCTACAATCAGAAACAACTGGGGTGACAGGAACGAGGACTGAGGGTACGGTAGCCAGGAAATCAGGAGCAGCAGCAGTGCAGACAACTGAGAGGACCACACACTGAAGTATGGGGTTTAAAGAAAACACAAGAGCCCACCCAGCAGTCACAAGACTAGAGTGGCAGGGTCCACTCTGGCCCTTGGTATCTGTGAGGTAGGACAAGTCAATTCACAGCTGCCGAACTCTATTTCATCACCTATATTTACCAAAGTGCAAAATCCACAGTGTTTCCCATAGACCTAAAAGCAAAGTCAGGGGCATGCCTTCTAAAAGGATTTCCTGATCAAGCAAGTGCAGGAAAGTATATACACTATAGACTACCTTTAGATTCGCAGTCTTAGGTTAGGGTAGATAAAGGCTCTAGAAAGTTAAATGTGGGCCTTTTGAAAGATAACCTTTCTAAGTGAAGGGTCTCCTAAACAGCCTCCTCTAAGGAACAATAATATCACCAAGCACATGTTACTATTTCTCAGAATACTAAAGACAGAATTATCATAGGACATACCAAGACCACTTCACCAAAAGCGTTGATGGCAAAGACCTACACATCTTTCAACACCTGTGTCCAGAGCAACACTGTCCATTTGGCCAAGAATCCAATACAAATGGGTGCATAAATAGAGTGTATACACACTTACATAGTTCACTACGCTGCCCAGGCTAGACTCGCTGGCACTAGAATCACAGATGTAAACATGCCTGGCTTAGGAAACCTTTACGTGGTACAACGTAACGGACACAAACCCTGAAGTATATGAGGCACAGTGAGCCAGACACAAAAGGCCTAACGTTTCCACTTTTATGAGGCACCTGTAGCATCAACTGATAGAGACACAAAGTAAAATGGTAGCAGCCACATACAGAAGAAGAGGGAGGAGGACAGGGGGCTTTGTTTTATGAGTCCTGGGCTGTAAACTAGGAAGATGAAAATGACCTAGAAATGGATAGCTGATAAATGTACAATAATGGAATGCACCTAACACCACTGAACTGTTATTAAAAAGGGTAAATTTCCTATTAAGTGTATTTTACCTTAAGTGAAAAAATTAAAGCTACTCTAACAATGAATTGGTTTTCTCTTAATTCTAATACTCGGTCACTATGAAATGAATAAAGTAGCTGACAGAAATTTCCTCACCTCCGCAACACTACAAATCGACCCCAAGGCTTCACCGCGGAAACCGTAGGTTGTCAGGTTCTCGAGGTCTTCGTGACTGTTTATCTTGGAGGTGTAGTACTTCACAGCCATCACAGGGACGTCCACAGCCTTGATGCCCTCGCCATTGTCCCGGACCTCGATTTTATCAAATCCGTAGTTCTCCTGGCAAAGTGAGGAATATTTTCAATTGATAAAACTTAAACGGCGGCGATCACATTTAGAAGTGCAGGAAGCAGTCCGGCTGTTTGACAGCTTTAAGGGAGAGGTAACGCCACGTCAAGGGGAGCTCCCATCTTCAGCTCTGCCAAAGCCTAGGTTCGGTACACTGAGCAAGGGACCTCAGCTCAACTACAACACAAGGAGGTCAAACTAATCTCCTGAGTGTTCTATCAACTTGTTTACTTGCATAGGTATTTGTGGTCATTTATATTTAAACGCAAATTAAAAGTCTACCATAGATTTTATATATATCATCCCCCAAATGAAATAAAACACTATCACCAGCAAAAACTCACCTGCTCTATTCACCAAGAATCCAGCAACCATTCTTATTTAGTCTGATTTTTAATAAGTTCTCCTTTATTGCTTTCATAAAAAATTAAGTATTTAGTACCTTATAATTTTCTAAATTTCTCATTATAAATATCAAACAGAAAATTGTTGAGAAAATATATAACTTAGTAATCTCTTCTAAATTTGAAAATTAGGAAAGTAAGCTCCATTCATAGCTAATCCTATGATACTGAGCTCTGCACACACAAGAGAAACCAAGTTTCTATAATGACCCTGTTTCCCATGAATACGGTCACCAACTGTTATCAGCCTCGCTCCGAAAAGCCCTGCAGACATCACCACAGACGACAACTACAGGAGGAAAAGCTTCTGGGATTTATACTGGCTCCATAGCATACAAGGGTATCACACTGTAGTAACCTAAGCTCACACAGCACCTTGTCAGTACTGCTAAAAACACACCACGCATGTAAAGCATTATCAGGAAATACCTAAGATTTCGGCGTCAATCAAAAATTGTCTGACAGCCTGGACACAGCATGTCTGCTTCATTTTATTAAACAACAGACCAAAACATTGACCAGAGAAATGTCAATCTCGCAGCATAAATACCTCCAGGAATCTGAACAAAACAGGCCTGGCTGCAGTGTCAGGCCCAGCAGAGCCGTTCATTCAGAAATCCCGCGAAGTAGATGAGCAAATCTCCGGGTAGGTGACGATGCTGATTTACTTTATAGGGACGCTTCCGTTGGCTTGTTAACATTGTTTTAAGAAAACATTTTGTCTTTGAGAGACACTTTATAACAAGAAACACATTTCAAGAGATAAACAGAACAGAAAAGAGGAACAGGTAAAGACCCACAGCAGGTAGGAAGGAGATGAATCTTTGTCTCCCTGTGAGTCTTAAATGGCACCTGTCGGATAAAGACACTGTCACTTGTATTCCATTGTCACATACCCTCTAATCAGACCAATTATATAAAATGCCTAAGAAAAATAGTCACTCTTGGGCCTTAATAAACTATTTCTTCACGTCGTAAGCACATGGAATATTATTCAAAGCAGGGGTCCCCAACCTTCCTGATGCTGAGATCCTTGAGTACAGTTCCTCATGTTGTGCTGACCCCAACCATAAACTTCCTTTCGCTGGTAATTCACGACTGTAATTTTGCTACTGTTATGAATCATATACAAGCTCTCTGATAGGCAACCCCTGTGAAAGGGTCGTTCGATTCCCCAAGGGGTCTCAACCCACAGGTTGAGAACGGCCGATTTAAAGGCACAATTGGGCAGACATTCTGCAACTGTGCTCCTTGGTACAGCGGCAATTGTAGACTCTCTGGATGGACAGCGGTGTATGCACGCACACTCTTCAGCCTCACTCGTAATCTCAAACTGCAGGAGTGAAGCTTAGTAACTGTCTAACAAAGCCCCCAACTTAACCTGATGTACCCCAAATACCCTAGGAGTCATGGTCTTTGCTTAGTAACTACCTAAAAGACCCTGCTTAACCTGATGTACCCCCAACACCCTAAGAACCATAGTCTTTGCTTAGTAACTACCTAACAAAGCCCCAACTTAACCTGATGTACCCCAAACACCCTGAGAGCCGTGGTCTTTGCTTAGTAACGACCTAAAAAAACCAGCTTAACCTGATGTACCCCAAACACCCTAAGGACCATAGTCATTGATTAGTAACTGCCTAACAAAACCCCCAACTTAACCTGATGTACCCCAAACACCCTGAGAGCCATGGTCTTTGCTTAGTAACGACCTAAAAAACTCAGCTTAACCTGATGTACCCCAAACACCCTAAGGACCATAGTCTTTGATTAGTAACTGCCTAACAAAGCCCCAACTTAACCTGATGTACCCCAAACACCCTAAGGACCATAGTCTTTGATTAGTAACTGCCTAACAAAACCCCCAACTTAACCTGATGTATCCCAAGCACCCTGAGAGAAACCTGAAGCTTGGAACATTTGGTTCACTACTAGCTAATGAAGCGACTTAGGCAAGTTTTGGGAAGACTGAGTCTTTGTAAAACTGTTAACATTTTTTATGAGATGTACTTGGGAATTTTACCCATCTGAATTTTATCTGTTAATAAGCAAAAGCAAGATCTTCTCATTACAAAGTAGCCCTGCCAGAATTATGATATCACACTACTAGCAATAACACAAATATCTGATAATTAGATTTAAAAAAACATATTCTTGCTTTCAGTAATATAGACTTCAACTCCTAGTAAATAGTAGATAATAGGTAGGATGGACACAAAAATATAGGGTCTAAGTCTGTGAGTTTGACATTTGAAAAGGGGGGACACATCCAGACTAACAGCAGTGTGTCACTGGGGGAAACATCCAGACTAACTGCAGTGTGTCACCAGCACTGGGGGAAGTATCCAGACTAACTGCAGTGTGTCACCAGCACTGGGGGAAGTATCCAGACTAACTGCAGTGTGTCACCAGCACTGGGGGAAGTATCCAGACTAACTGCAGTGTGTCACCAGCACTGGGGGAAGCATCCAGACTAACTGCAGTGTGTCACCAGCACTGGGGGAAGTATCCAGACTAACTGCAGTGTGTCACCAGCACTGGGGGAAGTATCCAGACTAACTGCAGTGTGTCACCAGCACTGGGGGAAGCATCCAGACTAACTGCAGTGTGTCACCAGCACTGGGGGAAGTATCCAGACTAACTGCAGTGTGTCACCAGCACTGGGGGAAGTATCCAGACTAACTGCAGTGTGTCACCAGCACTGGGGGAAACGTCCAAACTGCAGTGTGTCACCAGCACTGGGGGAAGCATCCAGACTAACTGCAGTGTGTCACCAGCACTGGGGGACACATCCAGACTAACTGCAGTGTGTCACCAGCACTGGGGGAAACGTCCAAACTGCAGTGTGTCACCAGCACTGGGGGAAGCATCCAGACTAACTGCAGTGTGTCACCAGCACTGGGGGACACATCCAGACTAACTGCAGTGTGTCACCAGCACTGGGGGACACATCCAGACTAACTGCAGTGTGTCACCAGCACTGGGGGAAGTATCCAGACTAACTGCTGTGTGTCACCAGCACTGGGGGAAGTATCCAGACTAACTGCAGTGTGTCACCAGCACTGGGGGAAGTATCCAGACTAACTGCAGTGTGTCACCAGCACTGGGGGAAGCATCCAGATTAACCACAGTGTGTCACCAGCACTGGGGGAAACGTCCAAACTGCAGTGTGTCACCAGCATGCTCCCTAAACCTTTCCCATCCATAATTTCTTTTTTCTTCTCTATTTGCTGATGTCTAGAGACAGGGTTTTGCTGTAGATGCTCTTGTACATTTGTCACTCGTGTTAATTTAATATAACACTGATTGGCCAGTAGCCCAGCAGGAAGTATACGCAGGGCAACCAGATGAGAAGAATTCTGGGAAGAGGGAAGGCAGGGAGAGGCAGTCAACAGCCAGACAGAGGAAGCAAGATGAAAATGCTGCACTGAGAAAAGGGACCAAGCCACGTGGCTAAATATAAACAAGAATTATGGGTTAGTTTAAGTTATAAGAAATAGTTAATAATAAGCCGGAGCTAAAAGGACAAACAGTTTATAAATAATATAAGCTTCTATGTGTTTCTTTGGGACTGAATGGCTGTGGGACCAGGCAGGACAGAAACTTCTATCTACAGGGTTTCTCTGCAGCTTTGGAGCCTGTCCTGGAACTCTCTCTATAGACCAGGCTAGCCTCGAACTCACAGAGATCCACCTGCCTCTGCCTGTCAAGTGCTGGGACTAAAGGTGTGAGCCACTACTGTCTGGCTTCCATCCATAATTTCTTTTCAAATACCAAAGTTCTGCCCAATCTGTGGTATACAAATCCAATATTTAATAATTGAAATAATACCTTGTTATACATATAATTTCACCATTTATTAAAGATGAATACATATTTGCACACTGAGAAGATAGGTGAAGGTGCTGGTTTATTTTTACATAATTAAATCATGGAGGAACATTTGCTATTTTGGAACAGAACATCTTCAGCACTTTAAGGTTTGATCTGATTCTATAATAGTCAATGTTCATAACACATTTTGCATATGTATGCTGCATAAATACATTTAGGGCCTATGGTGATTTGAATTAGAATGGCCCACATAGACTCATTTTGGGGAGGAACAGGAGGTATGGCCTTGTTGGAGGAGCTGTGTCTCTTGGGGTAAGCTTCAGGCCCAGTTTCTCTCCCTGCCTCTAGCTGCGGATCAGAATGTAGCTCTCAGCTACTTCTCCAGCACCATGTTCGCCTGCATGCCACCATGTTCCCTGTCATGATAACAGACTCACCTCTGAAACCGTAACTGAACTAAATGCTTTCTAAATTGGCTATGTCATGGTGTCTCTTCACAGCAACAGAAAAATAACTCAGACATACGTTGGTGCCAGGGACTGGGTATTGCTATGACAGACCTGACCATGCTGCTGCTTGGAGAAATGTGGAAAACATTTGGACCTCGGGTAGGAAAGCTGTTGAATGCTGAAAGTTTTATGTATTATGAAAGTATTAATGGGCCATCCCAGTATAATCTTGGAAGACAGTGGTGCTGAAAGCAATCTGGATTATAGAGGCCTAGCTCAAGAAGTTTCAGGAAAATATTAGTGCTATTATCCAGGCAAATGCAAACCTGCCCTCCCCCTTGGGGACCTGGCAGGGGCAGAGTGGCAAATCCTGCACACCTCAGACATTACCCTGGCCAGCCCAGGGCCTTCTGGCTGCTATGTCACTAGGTAGTCTGTACACAGGTGCAAAGGTCCCTTTAAGAAACAATCCACGCCTATTCCTGCTCTCTCTGCCATTTCTCTAAGGAGGCAGATTACTCTCTCTCTTCTCTCTCTCTCTCTCTCTCTCTCTCCTCCCTTCCCTAATAAACTTCATTCCCATGCAATGAATGATAAACATCATCATTCTGATGGCACGTTTGTCCCGTGCCATAAGATCCCTAAATCCATGGTACCACCCTGAGCCACATATAATTACACTTGCCCTGCTGGGTTTCCTTATTATACTATACACTCTCTCTGCATTTTACGGTGGTCCTGTATGTTTATTCTGTGGTATTTTATGTTAGAAGTACATAATTTGATTTTGATTTTCCTGGGAGTTACAGCTAAGAGATTGCCTTGAATGTCATAAGAAACGTTGGATTTTTAAGGTGCCGAGACTGTGAAAGACGATGGTGACTTCAGAAGTTAAAGTAAAATGTATCTTGTTTTATGATATGACTACAAGTCTCTGTGGACCTGTACTGGCTATTCTTGGTTGTCAACCTGACTGTATCTGGATGAACGATAATCCAGAAATGGAGGGCACACTTGTGATCTGGATCTTGAGGGAAGATCTTGAGGCGGGAAGACACACATTTAATCTTGGCCACACCTTCTGCTGGAAGCCTATACATACATACATACATACATACATACATACATACAGAGAGAGAGGGATTCATCACACACACATATGTAGAGAGAGTCATTCCATACATTCTAGAGAACCCTGACAAATGTGGCGGTTTTGAATAGGAATGACCCTCATAGGCTCATATATTTGAATGCTTAGTGTCACTAGTAGGTGGGGCCTATTTGGAGAAGAACTAGGAAATGTGGCCTTGGAGGAGGTGTGTCTCAGAGGGTGGCCTCTCTGCCTCCTGCTGGAGGATAAGGATGTAGGCTCTTGGCTACCGCTCCAGTGCTCTGCCTCCTGCTGGAGGATAAGGATGTAGGCTCTTGGCTACCACTCCAGTGCTCTGCCTCCTGCTGGAAGATAAGGATGTAGGCTCTTGGCTACTGCTCCAGTGCTCTGCCTCCTGCTGGAAGATAAGGATGTAGGCTCTTGGCTACCGCTCCAGTGCTCTGCCTCCTACTGGAGGATAAGAATATAGGCTCTTGGCTACCGCTCCAGTGCTCTGCCTCCTGCTGGAGGATAAGGATATAGGCTCTTGGCTACCGCTCCAGTGCTCTGCCTGCCTGCTGCGTGCTCTCAGCCGCTCTCTGAAACCGGAAACCCACACTCAATGCTTTCTCCTTTAAGTTCCCTTGTTTATGGAGTCACTTCACAGCCATAGAAAGGTGTCTAAGAGATGCTAGTGCAGAGACTGTGAGGCAGGCTACGCTAACCCCAACCCAAAGTTCAAGTAATGATTGTTCTATGAAAGTTCAGTCACTAACTAATATAGCAAATTTAAAAACCTAACATCCTAATACAATACAATAATTTGGAATAAAAGAGATTTACATGCTGAGGAATGAGAGCAGGAAAATATCTAGTCTTTGCTTTCATAACTGAATGTGTATCTGTCTATAAGAACAGGCACCCTAGCATATAAAGTAAGAATAATTCACCACATACAACAGTCTGAACTCACGGTGAGGTTAAGTTATAGGCAGGTCCCGGCAGCATCACACTGCAGGCGTATACTGTGTGTTCAGAGGCCAGGTTGTCACACAAACAACCAAGGACACACGTTAAAAGAAAACAGACATTTGGCTGAGTGTTTGGGTGACGACCCCTATCTGGCTTAAGTTTTTCCTGTGATTTCCTTTAGCATTAGTATAATCTTGGTTTAAATTACAATCTACTCTTTAAACTGTATTCCAAACGCCCAACACCTGGAAATGAAAGTCCAGCAACAATCTCTCAGGAAAACCTGTCAGGTCCATTAGCTGTAAAGGCATGGCACTCACCAGTTTCACGTCGATGCTGGTGGCTCCAGCATCCAATGAGTTTTCAATGAGTTCTTTCACAACGCTGACCACTGACGTGATTATCTGGGAACTGGACAGGAGGCGAACTGTCGCGGCAGGCAACTGCTTCATCCTCGCGCTCAGCAGAGTAGCTAGAACAGAATCACAAGGTGTAAAGAGGAATTGTAAACATTTCTGACTTGTATAGGCCAGATGATAACAACAGGCGATACCTTAGGAGCGTACCTGTGCTGAGGAATTATGTATGCAAGGCTTGAGGTAAGCTCACACAGTGTGAGACAATAAACTTCCTACTAATATCCTTAGAAGCGGGTAACACTGCCATCTCCATTTTGTAAGATCACTGAGGTATGCAGGAGGAACTAAGTTCATTCAGTTATCAAGACACAGGGTCAAGACCTTGATACAAGAAGTCCAAAAACATATGTAATTAGTTACCTCTCACTGCTACACAACAACTCAAACAGCTCTAAAAATACCCACAAGACTTTCAGGTAAGTCGGCGGCAGGCTGGAAGCTCCCTCCATGCCAGTGAAGTTGAAGCACCCGAGAAAGAAGAGAAAGGAGCAGGCATGGAAGGAGTTGGAGAGAGAAAAGGAAAGGAGGAAGTGGTGAGAACAAGATGACAAAGTGCTAAAACAATAAAAATAAAAAAGATATTTAAGTAATTAAAGATTTAAGTGATTAAGGCAAGACAGACTTTATCAGCAAAGAGAGAAAGAGAAAAGCTTTGGGAGGTCACACAGTTAATGTCAGAGCAGCGTACCGAGGGCAGAGGAGAAGATGAGCACAGCTGAGAGGTAGTGCTAGCCAGCCAAGAGGCAGTAGTCACACAGTGCTGCTCACAGCAGGGGAGCGGAAGGTAGCAGGCTCACCCAAGACCCTCCAGGATACCCCGAAGGTATTCAAAACCAAAAGATGCACAAATCATAACACAGAAACATACTAGAAATAAAAAGCAACAGCACTCCTCCAAAGGACCACACTGAAAGGGCTGGGGTTTGAGGTTCACAGGGGACCCTGAGGCAGACTGTCCTTTTGAGCAAGAGATTTATTCATAGAATTAACACCATGGAAAGACAGCGTGGCAGGCATGCCTACTAGAGTCCAGACCCACAAGGCATACGGAGCCCTTTCTTTATAGCGCTGCTTAGACAAATCATTGAAATTTAAAAATCAATGAAGAAACTTGATAGTTAAACTATACTACACATCTAATGGTTCATCACTGCAACAAATATTCTATCCAATGGACACAGAGAACACACTCTCACCAGCCTGTGGAAGCTCTGCTAAAACAGACACCACTGTCAGCCACAAACTGAGATTCAAAGAGCCAAAAAATTTGCTGTCTTATCAGACAACAATGAAATCAACAGCAACTAGAACTAAAAAAGTTGGACAGTACTTGGAAACTGAATGGTACATTCTGGAACGACCAGAAAGCAAAGACGAATTTTTTAAAAATTTTCTACAATCAAATGAAACAAGTCACAGAACAATTTTTGGAGGCTGGAGGGATGGCTCAGTGCTTGAGAGCACTGGCTGCTCTTGTAGAGGACCTGGGTTCAATTCCCAGCACCCACATGGCAGCTCACAGCTGTCTGTAACTCCAGTTCCAGGGGATGTGACATCCTCACACAGACATACATGCAGACAAAACACTAAGGCTAATGCACATAAAATAAAAATAAATAAATTTAAAAAGATTCTCAGTTTAAAAAAATAAATAAGTAAATAAAACAATTTTCAAAAGGGAGTTTAGAGCTTTGACAGCTTACATGAAAACAGGAGAAAGATTTTCAGTACTAGCAAAGGATGCACCTCAACTGAAAACAAAGCAAACCCAAAGGAATTGGAGAGCAAATAAGGACCAGGGCAGCAGCTAATAAAAGGCTGAAAAAGTCAATGCGCAAAGTCAGAGTTGTTAATCTAAAAAAATAAACAAGATTGACAAAGCCCTAGCCAAACTAAAACAAAGAGAAGATTCTAATCTATGAAGTTAGAAAGTCCAGGGGATCATTCCAGTAGACTGTGGTGGTTTGAGTAAGAACGTCCCCCACCGGGTGGGAGCTGGTGCACACCTTTAATCCCAGCACTCGGGAGGCAGAGGAAGGTGGATCTCTGAGTTTGAGGCCAGCCTGGTCTACAGAGTTAGTTTCAGGACAATTAGGGTTACACAGAGAAACCCCGTCTCGAAAAAGAAAATAAATTGAATGTCCTCACAGTCGCAAGCATTTGAAACACTTGTTCCCCAGCTGGTGATGGCCTTTGTGGTTGCCTTTTAAAGCGCTGTTCCCCTGAGTTTGGGCACCAAGAGGCTGGCACCAGCCCACTCTTGATGGCAGGAGTCATCAATAAAAAGGACTAACTACCTCACATGGGTCGTCTCGCCACCACACGGGTGCTGGAATCTGAACCTGGATCCTCTGCAAGAGCAGCAAGTGCTGTTAACCTCTGAGCTGCAGCTCCGGCCTGGGGAAGGGAAAAAGAAGGGACACGGAAGAGGTGAACACACTGTCATGAGAGCAGGAGGGCGGGAAGGGAGACAGAAGATGAGTCACAGCTGAGACTAGCGAGGAGGAAGAACGAAAACAATGGAGGACACGTCTGGCGAAAATGACACAGTAAATCCATTATTTTCGGGCAAACTTAAATAAACAAGACAGAAAAATCTACAAATAGCGCAAGTGGGAGAAAACTGCTGTTTTTCTATTTCTCGGTCCACGGGTTTCAGTATAACCAACGTTATACTGAACAATTCTGGTTTCCTTCCTACTGAATTCCAACCACCTGCAGGAGTCACCAGCTCGAATCAAAGTATTCCCTCCACTTAGCCACAGTCAAGCCGGTGTGGAGGAGCTCCATTTCTCATCCATTCTTCTGTTTTCACACTCAGCCCCGCCCTCAAGAACTCAGCACCCAGACCCTGTTCTGAGCTCTTCAAACGCGAACTGCGTGTGAAAAGGAGGCAGTGTACACATTCATGATTTTATCATCATTTAAGATGTGTAAAATAAATGTAAACATTCTCAAGTTCAGAGTTGCTTATGTTGACCTTCCCTTAAAGGACAGAAAACCAGAAGTAACTAGGAAGGTTGGTACATAGGATTTTCTGACAGTGAATCACTAGGGGGCCTAGCTTGCCCAGAGGCCTTCAAGCCCTCAACCCCAGGCTGATCCACTTCCACTGCAGTCACTTCAGGGCACTCTGTTTATTCAGATTCATTTGTGTCTTTACAGCTTCCATGGCCTCAACTCTGCAAGTGCGGACCATTACTCTTGGAAGATTTTTTTTTTTTTTTTTTTTTTAGGTAATAAGGAGGGATAAAAACAGAATGACTGAGTGAATTACTTCTCAAAAGTTAGGCAGAAATTTTTACCGCAAATATATTTCCTTAAATATCCTGGTCCAAACATCAGATCACTGAGTCACACAGGGCAGTGGAACCACGGGGGACAGGTGAATTTTAAAGACCTCTTTAAAGAAGTCACCACTTGGCTGCCAATAGTTGAAGAATGCTAAGAACTGCTACAATAAATGCAGCATGTCATATGCCTGGCTGGCCATGACCACACGATGCCCGCACCTTAGGGTGTGGATCTCGCAGCTTCCCAGGTGCCTCCTTAGTCATGCAAAGGCTGTGATGCTCCAGAATGCCTTTCTAGACCCCAGGGCTCTTTCGAATTGGCTGTCAAGACCTTGAGCAGCTTTTAATACAAATTAGTCAGGCCCGAGACATGCTGAATTACTTCTGCATCACTAGGCCTAAAGCAGGTCTCTAAGCATGTTGGAAAGAACCTTTGTGCAGACTACAGGTCCTTCATAAGATGAACCAACATGCAGACAAAACTCTCTGTTCAAAACAGAAACAAGAGCAACAACAACAACAAAAAATTCCCAAAACTTAAAATGAAAATTCTATCACTTAAAAGACACACTGGAAGGCTTCTGCTGTTGCGGGTATGTAGCCCCGCCAGCTTGGAATTCATGGAACAGACCAGGCGAGGCTCTAACGTGCAGAGATTCTTATTTATTTATTTATTTATTTATTTTGTATACAATATTCTGTCTACATGTTTGCCTGCAGGCCAGAAGAGGGCACCAGACCTCACTACAGATGGTTGTGAGCCACCATGTGGTTGCTGGGAATTGAACTCAGGACCTTTGGAAGAGCAGACAATGCTCTTAACCTCTGAGCCATCTCTCCAGCCCCCCAGAGATTCTCTTATTTGTACCTTCCGAGTGTTAGAATCACAAGTGTGCATACGACAAGGAGGGAGCTTCATATCTGCCTTCACTTATGCCTAGCTTCAGAAAATATCTTGGGACAATAACGGTTACCTTGACAACATGTAATTCGTCTAGAAAGTAAAGTTTTGGTTTTTTTCTGAGGGTTGGGGGAGAACTGTTTAAGAAAAAAAACTCTAAGTAACTCCACACAACTAAGTACATGTTCACTTGATGAACTGAGCCTATAGAAGTTAATTTTAAACAAAACGATAACACAAAGCAGGAAACCCAAAGATCAGCTAAGGGTTCTTTCTCAGGCCATGTAAACCCACCTGTCATGTAAAAAGCTACAGTAACTGAGCAGCAAGCAGGAGGGGCACGCATTGTAACAAGTACACAAGGATTTTAACCATAAACTAGGAAGAGGCTAACTTCCTGGGTTCTTCCAAGTCACCATTATCTTTTGCTATCATAAAGAAGGCAAAGCTGATCGGCACAGTAGAGAAACAGACCAAATCCCAAAACCCAGGTCTTAGTATCTTCTGAAGCAAACTTAAATTCCTCTGCAAAAAAGTTTTCACCTATAAAAATGGAGACACTGACTCGGTGGTTAGCTGCAAGGATCAATGGATGAAGCAGCTATAAAAACAGGCACGGGAGAGGACAGACGAGGATGGGGGGGGGGGGCGCCATAGTGAAATCAATGATTTTGTGTGTTCGCAGAGATGAAAACCAGGACGCCTAGCAGGACATACACAGCTATCTACAGTCCTAAGCTTGGAAGGCTGGGGAAGATGAAATCTGGGCCGTTGCAGGGAGTCAAACGTCATATAAATGGTAAAGGCCTAAAATGCAATTATTCTTCTGTGGTTGCGGAGACTGAACCCAGGGCTTTACACACGCCCTTTTTCTTTCTAAGACAAGGTCTCACGAAGCTGCCACGGCTAGTCTTGAACTCACTCTAGTGCGGGCCGGACCTGAATTTGCCTTTCTCCTATCTCCACCTCCCAAGGAGTGGGACTCCTAAGCCTTGCCATCAGGACAGACTGAAAACGTACCACGTTCCGGTGTGGGATCATAATGTAGAAGCAGAGTGGGAATTCTTTTCTACTACTAACGATAATTTTATTGAGTTTCGGGGTAAACTGTCTGAAGGGAAGTAGGTACCTATACCTATCTCTCAACAATTGTTTGGAAGTCTCCAAAACTTTCTCGTTTTGGGAGAATACTAAACCTCTATTATCATAACATTCACACAAATTAATGCTACCTATGACAGATAGAAAGTGTCTTCTGTCTCCGGCCTTACACACTGGACAGTATGACAGCCAACGGCCCCATGGAGAGCTATGAGCACTTGAAATGGCTATTAGACAATACTGTCCCTTCAAGTGTTCAGAACCTCTCTTATTCTCTACAATGTTACAAAATACTTTTTTTCCAAATCCCTACTTTTACCCCAGCTCTTCTAATACAAGTTTACAGAGATCATGACAAGTCACAGAACCTGGCCGCCATCCCATTGTGTCTTAGCGGTTCCACACAGTGATTATCTCCTGCCTTGTCCGCTCTGCAGTATCAGGTCACACCTGTGTCCTGTCCACTCCTGTGTCCTCTGGAAATGAGTAACACAAGTAGGGCCCTCTGGGACACAATAGATCATGAGGATAAAGGCCTCAGGACGGCAACACGAGTGCTCATTGAGGAGCCCTCAAAGCTGCTTGGCTCCTCTGTACCCAGTGACACAGACAGGAGGTGCCCTCTGTGACTCTCGGAATCCAGTCCCTCAGCAGCTACAGCATCTGCCTGGATCTCAGACCTGCCAGCCTCCAGAGCGGTGAGAAGCTCCCGTTGCTGCGCCCCTTCCCGGTGTGCGGTCCTGTGTTCTGACAGCTGGGACCGACACCACCAACACCCTTTCGCCTCCCTTTGTCTGTCTAGCCCACTGGCCTGGAAAGCAAACACTAGCCAAGTACCTTCCCCTAACCCTCTCACTGCAACCATTCGCTCCTTGGCTGTGTGGCCAAGCTTGAGGAAGTCCTGGAGCTAGACTGTTACAAACTCCTATCGCCAAATCATTTCTAAACCGTTGTCAAGCAGCCGCCTTTGCAGAACTCTCGTTTGCTCAGTAAGGATCTCTGAAGGAATACATCCTTTCCTTGGGACCTATGCTGCTTTTTCTTTGTGTCGGTATTTAGGGTCAAACTCGGGTCTTTTGTATGGCAGGCAAGCGCTGAGACGCCATTGCTGTATCCCCAGTGAGTGACCACAGATATTTCTATCTCTCTCTCTCTGGTAACTCTGGCTTTCTTCCCAGGAATGTGAGCATTCCCCAGCATTTCTCCCCTGTTCTTAGATAACTCAATACCCCAACCTAAATCTGTATGGTCACGTGATCTCACTCTTCCCAAGAAGACATTTCTAACAGTGATTGTCACTGCCGCCTCAGGTAAGAGTCTGTAAAACAGACCATACTTCTCACTGTGTCTCCCTCAGGCTTGCCGCTTAGCTTTGCTGTGGGGTCTCTCCTGGTGGTCCCCATGGTCCGTCAGGAACTTCCATTTTCCTTTGTTAGAATAATCTATCTGTTTCCCACTACCCAGCTTCCTCTTAATCACTTCCAATGTCAGCCACAGCAATCCTTTTCTGATCACCCACTGGAATGACCCCCATCTCTCCCACACTCTTTAAGCACTCGGCTTGTATCACGCAGAAGACACTTGTCGAAACCTTATCCTAAATTACCTAACCTTTTGACTGTAAGGAATCACACAGTATGTATCTCCGAATGCAAAAAAAAAAAAAAAAAAGGAAGAAAAAAAGAGAGAGAGAAATTACAGTACTTTAAGGCTGGTAACCAGTCCATGGTTAATGCAGGGACGCTAAGAATAATTTTACTACTAAGTGCTTGCCCTCCGAACAAGTTGAGAGTCTCAACTCCCTCCAACTGTATGTTTAATATTACACTCCTAGACTCCACACCATCCCCAGCCCAGTGTATCTCCTGGTCTCGACATCATCCCCCCCTCCCCCCCAGTCCAGTCCAATGTACCTCCTGGTCTCCGCATCATGATGCATCTATAAAAAGAAAGAGACTTGGGAACTTAGGGAGAAAACAACACATCTGAAGCACAATCCAACTGCTCCACAGACCCCAAATTCTAGACACTACACATACGTGCAAAGCCTTCTGCCAACTTTAAAAGCTTTCCCAGGGTTATTTCTGAAATAAAGTATCGCAAACTTTTTTTTTTAATTTTTTTTTTTTGAGACAGGGTTTCTCCGTAGCTTTTTTGGTTCCTGTCCTGGAACTAGCTCTTGTAGACCAGGCTGGCCTCGAACTCCCAGAGATCCCCCTGCCTCTGCCTCCCGAGTGCTGGGATTAAAGGCGTGCGCCACCACCGCCCGGCCCAAACTTTTATAAATACAAATCATCAAGGCAAAGAAAATGTCATTTCAAAGATGATTCGGAACGAAACTGGATAGATTGATCAAGTCTTTTCTTCTCCTTCCTCAATGAGATGAACTTCTGGTATCCATATTTCTTCAGGGTGGCACTACACGTGACTTTTCATCAGGGATAAACACACACATCGATAGACTTTGAGACAAGACCCAGCATTACAAGCCGCTACACTCTCTAACAAGACCAACTTTTTAGTCTTGCACTCCAGAAGTCTGAGTACTGAGAGCTCCCACAACTGCCTTGCAGCCCCGAGGGCTTGACACACACACGCGCGCGCCTGGCCCGCCCCTGGCCCCGGGAAGCGGCTCCAGACCCCACGAGCATCGCCGGGCGTGCCCGACCGCCGTGACACTACCTTCCAGCTCGCGCGAGGTGAGGCACTCACCACCCTCCGCGACGCGCAGCCAGCCAGCAGGCAGACGCCGAGCCGCGGGGTCCACTCTGCGAGACGTCCCCGCCACCATCCGCAGCGCGCGTGCGCGTGCGTGCGCTCGGCGGGACGGGCGCCCGCGCGCCTCTCGGCCCCGCCCACCGCGGGGCGTGGGGATTAGCGCGTCGGGCAGCCAATCGGCTGCGGGTGGGCGCGGCTTGGCAGGCTTCCGGAAGCGGCGCGAAGTATGATCTCACTCCATCCTAAACACAGCTTCTCTCCTGAGTGTACTCTTATCCCCAAACGCCCTTAGCTGCATGGTGTTCGGATCTCTGGAATTAGTTAAGTGTTGAAATGTTTCTGCAACTGAACGAAACTCGTAGAGCTGCTGTGTTTCCAGTAAGGGAGGCGTAGTTAGCGAGCCGCACTGCTTCTGTGATGATGTGAAATGAGAGGTATTTACAGCGGAGGGCCAAGTACTGGTCCTTCCTAGGCTGGCCGTCTTGAAGTGCAGAACTCCGGTATGGGATGCCTCCGCCTAATGTGCTTGCTCTTTCTCTAAGAGGCTCGACAGGCAGGCTGGGCAGCTTAGAAGTTGATGGCAATGAGGGTACAGTAACTCAGCCCAAGGAAATGAGATATTGGTAAGAAACTAGGACCAGCTTACAGCATTGTGTGAGGAAAGGAGAATGCCAATCACTCATTCATAGTCAGATATATATATATATATATATATATCTCCAATACTCTAAAAGGAAATTAAACCCTTTGTAAATTTAATATTCTCTGTGATTCACTTTGTCGTGTAACTTACGTGCCTTTAAATCTATTCAGAATCAATGCCTCTCCCATTTCCTTCTATGATTCCCGCATTCCAATGAGAATATTTTCACTTTTAATTGATGCTTTAGTAATTCCTTCTCTTGTTACCTTCAGACTTTAATTACAGTATGCCTAGAAATACCCTTATAAATTAGGATACAATTAGTTTAGACACCGTGGGATTATAAACCTTATTTACTGGGTAATCTGTTTCTACAAATGACTTCCTAAACTAGATTCTTAATCTTTTAATAGATGATAGAAGTAATAAATCATAAGTGTGATCTTGTCAACTACAGCTATGGAGAAGCAACTCATTGGCCAAATTCTGGGTAAGTCTTTGTCAGATCTCATATCATAGAACCTACTAATTAAGAGCATCAGCAGTTTAAGTAAGGGAATTGCAATTACAGTAAACTATATCTATGATGGACAGGTAATTGTGTTTTGAAAGTCAGACTCTCGCTCCCATGTCACGTCTTTAATGCCAGGTCCAATCACTGCCCCTTGCCAAACCATTCCTAGCATGGGTAGCTAGGGTTGCTCCTCTGTATGGTGCTTCTGACACTCCCAACCTGCCTAACTCTCTGGCATTGGTCCGTGCTTCCACATTTTCCTTTCCAGCCACTTTGGATTTATTGGGCCGTCCATCACCAAAATAGCTCATTCACAGATGTTCTGGGACTTGTCAGGGGTGCTTACCTGGCAGGGGCCCGGATGTGCACAGACCTTGCTGTTCCTTAACCACCAAGGTTGCTGTTGTTACACATACTGGCTCCAGTTGCTAAGCTTCCCTGTCTCCTCCATCCATGCTACTTTCTCTCCTGCATCCCCTTCTTTCTTGTAATGATGTGACAAAACTTTTCCTCGGGAGATAAAATACATACGTCTACTCACCTGGTAGGAATCCCACAACAGACCGAAGTACGGACACCACCAAAGTCCAGCTTGGTGACCAGTGAGTTTTATTGGAATGACTTAGAGGACTATGGGTGATATTTCCCTAAAATAGGGTGAGGATGTACCTGATCCTTTCTCTCGCGGTGGCACCAACACTAACCGAAGGCAGGGCCGTTTCTTAAAATGTTCCGCAGTGCAATCAGAACTAAATTCGGACTCCTCTTCACCTCCGCGTGACCCTGTAGAAGTCTCGGTGCACGCACACCTTGGAGGAACGCCAGAGGGCAAGCTGGAAGTCTCGGGAAGTCCTTAAGCATTTCTTTACTACTGCGCTCTGGAGCCCCAGGAAGCTCAGCCGCCCCGAGAGCCGTGGCGCCGCCCCCTGGCGTCACTTCCCGGGGCCGGAGCTCCGGGCTCCCGCTGCAGTTTCCGACAGGTGCACGGTGCTGCCCGAACCCGGCCTCTCAGACTTTTAAAAGCAGGTCCAGCTCCCCGCCGACAGGGACTCCGTCGCTTCCGAGCCAGCTGTGGTAGCCAAACTGAGGAAATCCAATTCGTCTGCGGGTAGTTCGCTGCATGCAGGTCCCTGCAGGTCCGCTTTCCCAGCTGAGGTGTTCACATTTTGTTTCTAACCCCAGTCTTGCTCGACCCGCACGTTTTGCAGTGCCGAAATGCTAGGGGGTGTTTATATTTAGTGGTGATGGATTGCTATCTCTGGGGGGTGGCGGGGTGGGGAGAAGGATTTAAAAGCTTGGGGTGATAAACCTGTTATAAAAAAAATGGAGATGTGATTCCAAACATTGCATTAGAAAGTGTCTGCAGTTGTTTTAGGCGAGATGCATTTGTTTTAGAATGAGCTTTATGGGAGGACCTGTTTCCAAACTACAAGATTAAATTTTCAGTGGTGGGCGTATATTTTAATAAATGGAACCATGTGCTGTACACTGCTTTGGAGAGGAGGCTCAGGTCATGGGGTGTGTGGGAGGGGTATCTGTTCTATTTCCCATTAATTTTTAAATTTTTAACTTAGTTTTAAAAGGACTATCCACACAACCACTGTGCAATAACGTTAGCTGTTGTATAAAGTTCAAGTTGAGCACCCTTTACCTAAAATGCCTGAACCAAAAAGTGTTCAAGTTTCAATAATTTTTTTTTTAAATTTAGGGATGTGTCATGTACATGACATATCTCAGGATGAGACTCAAGACTAAACGTGAATTCATGTTTTATTTGCATCCTATAAATATGGCCAAGGCAATTTTATATAATAGTTCGAGTGTTCCTTATATTTCCACTAGCAAGTCAGGTGGGGAGAGTGGCTTAGATTTTAACTTTAGGGGATGCTCAACTTGGAATATTAATGATTTTGTATGTTTCTCACTTTTGTAAGACCTAATTTTATATTCAGTAATTTATAGGACCTTTGTAAGATTTTGACAGATTTTCCTAACGCTCTTATAATTTTGTAAGACTGCCTACTTAAACGATGAGTATTCATTGTTTTGTTTAAGTAAATGAATTAATTGCAAATGATAATTCCAAATCATATTTCTGTAATTCTTTTCCAGGAATTATCTGTAGAATAGTAAGTATGCTAATATTCAGGAAGACAGCAGGTGTTTTTGCCAAACCACCAAAGAGGAACGTGTATGGGTTTTTGAGAAGTCTTCACGTTTCTCCTGGAGTACTTTCTCCTCCTAAGCTCGTCCTGGGGATCGAAACCAGCTGTGACGACACAGCCGCCGCCGTGGTGGATGAAACTGGACGCGTTTGGGGAGAAGCCATGCATTCCCAGACCGAAGTGCATTTGAAGTAAGTGGCGACCATTTTGGTCACACCTGGTTTTCTGGTATTTTTGTTTTGTTTTTTGAAAAAGAAAAACGAAACCGTCTTTTTGTCTTTATCATGCGTAAAAGTCAAATTTTGATCGTTGAATTCCTATTCTATTGTGTAAAAACCGCTGAGTGCCACTATATAGAGCCACGCCTTGTGATCCAGGCCTTTAATACCAGCGCTTCCGTGGCAGAGGAAGGTGGATGTGAGTTCCAGGCTAGCTAGTGCCGCTTAGTTGTCTCTAAACAAACGAACAAAAAACCGGCTGTGTTGGGGTCGGGGTGGGTATTTCCAGGTTCTTGGTATCTTTTTCAGAGAATTGAAAGGAGATCACACAGATTCACACAAGAATCAAAATGACAGTTGTGAATGGTTGTAAATGTAACCACTGTCCCTATGGGCAGCCGGCCACGTGATTAAGAGGCCCTGATTCTTACTCAGGACTACTTTCCTGGCGTTCAAAGGAGGGTTTGGTTACTCGGGGACAGAATTCGGGTGCTTCTTTATTTTGTTTGACAGATTAGATCATATACTCATTTTTTTCTGTTGTGTATGTCGGCTTCCATAGGCTGCTGTTTTGATCACGTGCGTGCTCAGTTATCCATATTCATAAGACAATACATAGAAGATTCTCTCCAAACGGTTAATAGAGGGCACAGTTTTGCACATGCATCCAAACTAGTTAGGCCGGGTCAGCCTTTCTGTTCTTATTCTGGGATGTTGGGGGGATACATTTGAATAAAACCTGTCTAAATTTGATTGCTACAGGGCCAGAGGAATGTCTACCAGTGTTCAGAAACAGGAGTACAGATAGCCCCATGCAGGCTCGGGAGGGAGAGGTTGCTGAGCGCATTGTTTGGAGAGGGGTGTGTATGCCTAGTGGGTACAGGCAAAGTAACTAGGCTGCCAAGTGCACATTGCAAGGGAGGATGTGGGCATCATCCAAACCAGGTGGGGATCCCAAGGTCCTACTAAACTGTCTGCTGTGCCTGCCTGCCTCGAGCTAAGTGTAGGTTCACGTTATAGTTTAGCACTGTGCATTGAGACCGAGCATATTTCCTGCTTCCTTGTCTATAAAATCATGATGGCGTTGTCTTCTATATGAATTCCTTTAGAACACTTGCTACCATTTTTGGCAAGTAAAATCTAGCCATAGCGACACTCGCCTTACTATCGAGACAGTGAACAGGTCTGCGAGATAATTGGGGGGGGGGGGCATGGTGATAAAATCACTGCTTACAAGCATCCCCCTCTTCCAGACCTTCGCGGCCTCACCGGCTCACAGCCACGTCAGCCGTTCAGGGTTGCTAAACATAACCCTCAAACACGGCTTGGGATACTTCTCTCCGTTCTCACTAACTTAGTTAATCCTCTATTGTCCCTCGCCTAGACTCCAGATTTCAACACTTTCCTTCTTCATTAGTCATCTGCATTCTCCGTACAAGGTAAAATGTCTAGAGAATGTTATCATTAGTTAGTTGAGAATAACGCTGTAGTTTTTCTCATTGTTTATCTTTATCGCTTAGCATAATTTCTAGAATGCCAAGGAAGGCATGAAACGGATATAAAACAAGGGACTGGAATTCAAACTCTATCAAATCCCAGGCCAGGAAATATTTTCAGTTGGAAAGTAACAGTCAAGGACAGATTGCTCTCTAGGGTCTTCTGGCATCACAATCTGCCGCGGTCTCCAAGAGTCGGAAGATCCAGCTAGAAAAGTCGAGAGGCATTGATGTGCAGACAAGGTCAAAATGAATGTGTCAAGGTCAAAATGAATGTTGAAGGAACATTGGGGTGACGTGTTAGTAAAGGTTCCGGCTGATCTGACCTCCACATGCACCAGCCCCCCCCCATAAATAAGTAAACACGTCATCTAAAAAATGTAAAGTAAATTAAATGTTAGACGTTGTACAAATGAGCCTTGAGTGCTCTTGCTGCTAATAGAGAAATAAGTTAAATAAAGCTTTTAAAATTTTGTTAGGAAATACACTTGCTGATTTCTGTACATCCTCATTCCCTGAAAAAAATGTGTGTAAAATACATATTTATACAAATTATATATAGATAATATATTAAATAGTCATTGAGTATTGTGAAGATTTTTATTTCTATGTATAGAAACCATCCCACATGGTTTTGCAATGTCAAGTATTTTAAAATGATGTTTTGAGACAGAGGTGGATTTTACAGACTTGGGGAACTGAATCCCAGCCTGTAAGCCAGTTAGAAGTTACTATATGTATTGCTAGCCTCATTCTGCCCGTCGTTTTTCATCCCAGAGACTGAATGTGAAGCCCTGAGTGTCTTAGACAGGTGCTTCCCCCTGGAGCTGCGTTCTTAACTTTCCCTGCTAACTCTTCCCTCCCTTCATGTTTGGAGTGATCATCCATTGTCCCTCATCAGCTGGAGCTCTCCACTGCTAACCCCAACACTAGATTCCCAGACTTTATTTTAGGATTGCAAGCTATCCCCTGTCCTCGTCCGACCTCCAGTGCAGGGTGTTTCAAAATAAACCTTCATAAACCTGTCTTCATATTTCTTACTGCTCATACTTGTTTCTCCCAGCCGTTCCTAGAAAATATGAGTCCTCTTTGATGCCTGGGCCCCTACTGCTCTTTAATGCATTTTAATATAAGTTACTCTAGACAAATAACTCATGCTTTGATTTCTAAGATTCTCTCCTTGGAGATTAATCAGAGCTAAATACAGTTCTAGACTGCCCTTCCTCTGCTCATGACCTCTTTGGAATGCTTTATGAGGTGGTTCTGGTGACCTCACTTCATCAGAAATAAACCATAGCAGTCTTGAACACAGGATAAGAAGTCAGCAACAATATTGAACTCTTCCTAGTCCTGCGTTATAAAGCTCACAGTGTTAGCATGCATACTAACCCAGAGGTTCATTTGCACAGTGTTAGCATACATACTAATCCAGAGGTTCATTTGCAGGAATGCCTTCAGACATAACTTATCTTCCTTCTTTCCTAGTTTTTTAAAGACTGTCTTCCTTCTTTTTCCTTCAGAACAGGCGGAATTGTCCCTCCAGTAGCTCAACAGCTTCACAGAGAAAATATTGAGCGAATAGTAGAAGAAGCTCTTTCTGCCAGCAGAGTCTCGCCACGTGACCTCTCTGCCATCGCAACCACCGTCAAACCAGGACTGGCTCTAAGCCTGGGCGTAGGCTTATCATTCAGCCTACAGCTAGTAAACCAGTTTAAAAAGCCCTTCATTCCTATCCACCACATGGAGGCTCATGCGCTTACCATCAGACTGACCAACCAAGTAGAATTTCCTTTTCTAGTTCTTTTGATTTCTGGAGGTCACTGCCTGTTGGCCTTAGTCCGCGGAGTTTCAGATTTCCTGCTTCTTGGGAAGTCTTTGGACATAGCGCCAGGTGACATGCTTGACAAGGTACTGTCTCAGAAGTAACTTTGTTGGCTCTTCCAGTTAAATAGCCGTATACAGACTAGTCATCTAGGTAGTTCTGAGCAATGCCCCTGACTGAAAAGGTTTTTAAAAACCACAGCAAAAGGCTGGATGGGTAGCAGGGTAACCCACAGATTCGATGCCCACTTTGACTATTTAATGAGTTTGAGGCGATCCTAGGCCATGCGGCAAGGTCTTATCTCAAAGACACAAGAGTTGTGGCCTGGAATGGTGGTGCAGACTTTTAACCCTGGCACTTGGGAGACAGAGGTTTGTGGATCTCTGTGAGTTCAAGGCCAGCCTGATCTACTTGATGAGCTCCAGGACAGCCAAGAGTACGTAGAGAAAAAAAACCAAAAAAGTGAAGAGTTGTGATAACTTTTTTTTTCTTTTAGATAGGGTTCCTAACCCATGTATGTAACCCAGTATGTAACCCATGCTTTAGTCAAAACTGTGGTGATCCTCCTGTTATCACCTTCCATGTGCTGGGATTACAGGTGTGAGTCACTGCTGTGTCCCTCTCAATTTTGTCATTTTTAGCCATTTAATAAAATGCCAATTTTATATCTATATGTAAAAACTCAAATCCTTTGTAGTTATTGTTACATATTTAGTCAAATATTGTTGTGAAAGTGTTTGGGAAGCTATATATCATTGTGGCATGCTGCCAAAAGGTCGTGATATACAGATATTAGGAGCAGAGCATTGTGGTACAAACGTTTAATTCCAGCCCTTGGAGGCAGAGGCAGGTGGATCACTGCGAGTTCAAGGTCTGCTTGGTCTACAGAGTGAGTTCCAGGCCAACTGGGGGCGATATAGTGAAACCCTGTGAGGGAAAAGCAAAGACTAACACGGAATTCAGAATCTACTGCGTAATTGCCAACATCACAGCGGAGTTTCTTTAGAAGTACGGAGCCTACTGCCCTCCACAAAACAGCCGAAATGACGGAGGGAAAGAACAGATTCTTATTTTCAAAGTTAATCATTAAATAACCATCCACATCAATTTTCCAACCCCAGGGGGAGAGAAAAACTAGGGAGGCAATGCTTAGATGCTGCTGGTCAGGTTGTTCAAGAAAAGCCTTGCCTGAAATTAGCCATAGCCTCTGTATTCATTCAGGATTTTTGAATGAATACAGAATCTTTGAATTCATTATCTTTATATCTATGACTTCAAAATGTGCAGTCTATGACTCATTTAAGAATATACTTTTTAATGTCATTTATTATAGGCATTGACTCGCATATTTTAAACCATTTATCCCTGGATTAAAGCTAACTTGGTCATAGTGGATAATCTTTCTTTAATTAATTTATGATCAAAATATATTATCGCTTGTTTTTAATAGGTGGCAAGAAGACTTTCTTTAATCAATCGTCCAGAATATTCTACGATGAGCGGTGGGAAGGCTATAGAACATTTGGCCAAAGAAGGAGATAGATTCCATTTTACCCTCAGTCCTCCCATGCAGAATGCTAAGAACTGCAATTTTTCTTTTACGGGACTTCAGCATGTTATCGATAAGCTAATCGAAAGGAAGGAGAAGGAAGAAGGCATTGAGAAGGGGCAAATCCTGTCTTCCGCCGCAGACATCGCCGCTGCGGTGCAGCACGTGACCGCATGCCACCTTGCCACTAGAACGCAGCGCGCTATTCTGTTTTGCAAGCAGAGAGGGTTGTTACCGCCAGCGAACGCAGTATTAGTAAGCTTCGCCCGCTCACCGCTCACCCGCTAGCAGGCAGCAGTTCACTTCCCAGCGTGTCACTTTGGATTTAGGGCCTTGTGTCTCCTGCTGGACAGTGTAGAACAATACAGAAGAAAAGCCATGTGTAGCCATCGTGAAGGTAGACGGAACATCGCCGGTATAGAAAAAATCTCAGGCTACATTTTCTCTTTGAATTTGAAGAGGATTTGCCATAAAGAAACCAGAGTAGCCACTGTGGTTCCTATTTTTAGAAAACTAGGCTGCTGTCCTCCGTCTTTTAGTGAAATCCCTTTACACGTGCTCATACGACTTGGTAATCTTCCTATTTAATAGGTCTTAAATTTTTGAAAATGGAAATGTGTAAATTCGGCAACTGGCAAGACGGGATATTAAAAATGGATACTAGAGATAATGGTTTTGTGAGAGCTGGGTAGCTCAGTGATGAAAACCAAAAGTGCAAATGCTAAAATATTGATGTATTGTGATTGCAAATGTGGCCGAGACACTTTCTGATACTAAGGAAATATTTAAAGTGCTAGCAGCGAATACGTACTGGCTAAAAACTGTGATTAGTATCTCCAGATTTTTATTATGCAAATACTCATTACTTAGCCCCAAATAGTTTCTTGTTGGATAAAGCTGGTCTTCCCCCCAAGTGTAGTGACAGCTTGCTTCCTATCTGTATGTGATAGCATTTGATACTCGTCTTCCCTATTCTTTCAGGTTGTGTCTGGAGGTGTTGCAAGTAACTCGTATATCCGAAAAGCGCTGGAAATTGTAGCAAATGCAACGCAATGCACTTCGCTGTGCCCTCCGCCAAGACTGTGCACGGATAATGGCGTTATGATTGCGTGGTAAGCCACAAGATGGGATTTCTTTGCAAGCATGTATTTAACCATTAACGTCTCACCATACTAAATTGTCTTTCCTTCGACCTTGAGGCTGTTGGATTTTGTTTCGGTGTCATTTTTGTCTTTGTTTTATTACTGTTTTTCAGGAATGGGATTGAAAGATTGCGTGCCGGCTTGGGCATTTTATATGACGTAAAAAACTTCCGGTATGAACCAAAGTACGTAGACCATGTATCCTGTTTGCACAAATTGGACCTTATAAAAAAGAAAGAAAGCCTGGAGCATGGTTTTTTACATAGGAAGTTTTTGTTGATATTCCGGTTGGTAGTTTAAGGGAAATTACTGGTTTTCATTGATGGAGTTGAGAAATAGGTGATATGAAATATTTCTGCTACAGAATCAAATTGTAAAATTTTTTCCAAGCCATATATGAGCCATGGCCTATTTCTATAGGCAATGAATAATGTTGATGTGTTGTTTATTTCGTACAGAAAAGTACACATTTTAGGACTTGGAGAGATGGGTTGGTAGTTAAGATTGGTCACTGCTCTCACAGAGGACCTGGGGTCTGTTTCCAGCACCCACATGCAGCTCACAGCTACCCTTCCTCCAGTTTGAGGGGATCCAACACCCTGACCTCCATGGCTCGTGAATGCAGATGGTTTACATGCATGCACTCGGGCACACACATACACATAACATATTTTTAATAACAGGACGGAACCCCTCTTCATGAGCTGTACTTTTGTGATGTGTAGTGCTATCTAAGGGCGGTTAGTGGATTAGCAAACTTAAGGGAGCCACGAAGATAACAATCAGGTATGTTGTAACTGTGCTTCTCCAGGAATCGATGGGAGTAAGCCCGGAGGCAGCTGTTCACTGTGAGCCTATGTCCTCTCTCAAACCGTGGTTCCAAGAGCAGTTTTGTAATTTGCTGTCAAGTTCTGTTCAGGTTAGGGAATAATTTAGGACAGTTATGTTTCCTAATCTGACACAATTAAATGTGGACATTATTTCTTCTGCTACTTTGAACTTCTCGGCTCCAGAGAGTTGTACTTGTTGTGCGGACTGTTGATGCTGGCTGTGGATGGCCAGTGTTTAGGGGAGTGTCTGAAAGTCTAGCCAGTATCAGATGATACTGGCTGCTCACTTGTGCCCCCTTGTGGCAGTGTCGAGGCTGGAGCGGATAGCTTTATCCTGCTGGGGTCAGGGCTTACCTTGAGCAGTGTCATCCAAAAGGGGGAATTTGAGGTTTCCCTTTGTTTACAGAGGAAGAATAGATAAGGTGGGTGAGTGGGGAAGAGCTTTCTGTCTGGAAGAGCAAGGACAGACCAACTGTGGACTCTGAGAAGTCGTGGAAACCATGGGAACAGCAAACATATGAACAATGTAGGCTTGGTTTATGTGTTAAAATGCGCTTTTCATCTTGACCTCTGTGAAGGACTACAGACTATGGCATCTTTTGTTGTGTTTTATGGTTCACTTTAAGGGTTATTTTTCCATTTGCTTTTTTGTTATCTGATAGTTTGTAGAATTCAAGTTTCTGCATGTGTTTAAACAGACACCCTGCCATTGAGCCACTGAACTATATATCCCCAGCCTTCCTTTTGTTTTAAACTTACTAGTTTACAGCACTTTGGAGTAGGAGAAATTGTAAATACACCTCACAGTTCGGGTTTCTTATGAATGAGGTAGTGTCGTGCGTCATCCTGGTTTGTGTAAGAATCATCATCACCTATGCCAACTCCCCGTTACTTCCACCATTGTCCAGACTCCAAGCTGATAATGTGCAGAAGTTGTGGTAGGCGGTGAAGTAAGTATAACGAAATGTGGCCTCTGGTTTCCATGCAGATGTCCTCTTGGAGTAGACATATCCCAAGAAGTCGCAGAAGCTGCCATAAAAGTCCCACAGTTAAAAATGACAATTTGATTTGTGATTTTTAAAGGTCTTTACAGGTAACGTTTCAAACAATAAAATTAAGTTTTATCTTTTTGGTATCAAATTATATAAATATATTTATTAGGCGTCAAGACTTTTAGTAGGCATGTGTGTATGTATGTATAGCCGTGAAGGGACACGTGATGGTGTGCACGATAGCAAGAAGTCATTCACAACTCAGGTATTAGACCAGGAATGCTGTCAACCTCCCTTGAGACCAGGCTTCTCACTGTCTACAAGCTTCAACAGATATTTAATATATATATATCTTTGGGGACTGGAGAGATAGCTCAGAGGTTAAGAGCACTGACTGCTCTTCCAGAGGTCCTGAGTTCAATTCCCAGCAACCTTATGGGGGCTCACAACCATCCGTAATGAGATTTGGTGCCCTTTTCTGGCCTGCGGGCAGACATGCAAGCAGAATACTATATACATAATAAATAAATAAATAAATAAATAAATAAATAAATAAATAAAATCTTTAAAAAAATGTATCTTTGGGAGAAATACAGTGGTTCTTTTGATTCCTGGTCTCATATAATGGACTAATTTCTTCAATGAGAGCAGTTGTAAAATCAAACCAGGTGTCAGGCCCCTGAGTTATGACAAAACCTGACCAACAGAATATGGATTACCATTTGAACAAGTTATTAGGTGTCATGCTTAGAAGAAGACTATGTGCTTTTAATTCTTGCCTAATTGAGCCAAACACTCATATACATAAAATTTTTAAAAATGATAATATATCTTAATTTTTTTAAAGGGCCAATGTTACTATGTCCATTGATTTGGCCACTAACTGTTTATATTTTGCCCTCTATACTGGACCAAGTTGTTAATTTTGTCAACTTTCTAATCTTTGGTGACATGTTTTATTGAAAAGGTAAAGATAAAAATTTAGCATAGAAAACCCTTTTTGTCAGGTAACTCACTTTATAACATTCCAACAGAAGAATTACAGGCATGTACAACCATTCTTAACTAGAATGAAAATGTAATTTATCTTAGTCCTATTTTAAGGTAGCATCTCAGAAAGTTCCAGAAGTAATTCTTTTATTTAATTAATGATCACCTGTTTTCTCCTAGAAATGAAGCATCTGGAAATAGCCATTACTTAAAATAGCTTCTTATTCTTTGTTGTTAGATTGCTGTTAAACATAGGTTTGATAAAAAAAAAAAAAAAGTAACAAGTAAAAGCACCAACTAGTTCAGGAATTCACATTTGATATTTGGATTTGTATTTTGTATATGTGATTATGAATTAACAAACTTTCTGTGACTACCACTGTAAGTTCATATAAACTATCGAGGAAAATTTACCAAAATTTATATTATGAATATATTTATAATCTATGTTTTGAAAATGTTAAAAGTTGTTCCAGGTGTTATAATCATGCCTGTATGTTAAATTACTTTATAATACAAATAAGGGAGAAGTATAGCTAATAGAAATTAATGAACCCTGGATAGCAGCCATGTCTTTTAATTCTTTGAGTACTTGCTATGAGGAAAGGAAAGGAAGGAAGAGAAAGGAGGTTGGGACTAGGGAGCAACACTGAGCTCTTCATCAACACATGCCAAATTTAGCTTACAGCGAGACTAAGGGCTGGGTGGGCCACTGAGACCAACGTCTCTCTCACTAGGACTCACCGTAGCTTACACTGGTCTTGAACTCTTAGCAAACCTCCTGTATGAACATACCAAGTCCTTGATTACAGGTATGTTCCAGCATACATGGTAAAGCTCAGGATGTCCGTATATGATTTTTTTTGTTTTTGTTTTTGATTTTTCAAGACAGGGTTTCTCCATAGCTTTTTTGGTTCCTGTCCTGGAACTAGCTCTTGTAGACCAGGCTGGCCTCGAACTCACAGAGATCCGCCTGCCTCTGCCTCCCTAGTGCTGGGATTAAAGGCGTGTGCCACCACCGCCCGGCTCGTATATGATTTTTTTAAGGGAAGATAATAGAATGATAAAAATTAATCATGAAGAGTTGAGGGTATCCTCCCCTGTAAGGTTCAAGGAGCTCTGCCAGAGAGGAGACAGAAAGACTGTAAGAGCCAGAGGGGGATGGATGGCTCCAAGGAAACAGTAGTCTCCAGACACAACAGGACTGATGTCCATATGAACTCAAATGTGGTAGCATGCACAGAGCCTCCACAGGTTCAATCCAGATAGGGTCCCAATGCTGAGAGGAAAAGTGTGATGTGGGATTCTCCTTTGTATGCTGTGAATGTGTTTTGCTACTGCTGGTTAATAAAGAATCTGCTTTGGGCCTATAGCAGGGTAGAATAAAGCCAGGAGGCAAATTTGAGTGGAGATATAGAAAGTAGGCAGAGTCAAAGAGACACCATGTAGCTGCTGAAGGAGACAGATGCTGGAACTTTACCTAGTAAGCCACAGCCTTGTAATGTAGGTGGGTTAACTTAAGATGTAAGAGTTAATTCATAAAAAGCCTGAGCTAATAGACCAAGCAGTGTTATAATATAGTTTCTGTGTGATTATTTTCAGATCTGGGTGACAGAAAACGAACCATCAGTTGCTACCTACAGTTGGCGCCCAACACGGGGCACGAACCCACGATCCTGGGTAGGGAAATGAGTGAGTAGTCTCTCTTTACAGAAGTGGACATGAATCACGTTCCCTAACCAACAAACTGTCTCCAACTGATAATCCACTTGCAAAGGAAAGATGATTTTTCTCCAGTGGAGGTGACTGGGCAGGGAAGATCTGAGAGGAGTGTGGAGAGGAGAAACCACTAGACTATTTTATTAAAATTTATTTCAACAAAATATATTTTCTTAAAGTTGGCAGTGATTCTTCAGGAGAAATACTGTTGTCAGGATAATCTGGCTAGTTTCTCAGAAAGTATCTGTGATTGTATACAAAATATCTTGAGCCCACCTGAAGCTACCTCAAGGCTTGGTTGTTCGTGATCAGAGGCTTAATAATAAACTTTAATAAACTTCAAGAGTTACCCTTAATGACACTGAGAAAATGAGGGTGTCTTATCATTTGATTCACTTCTTAACTTTGTGGGAGGTTTTGCTTTGTTTTGTTTTTTCTTTTGTTTTTCAAGATAGGATTTCTTCGTGTGGCTTTGATTGACCTGGAACTCACCCTGTTTTGTTTTTGGTTTTTCAAGACAGGACAAATGGAGATCCCAAGCTAAAGCTAGCAATAAAAGCTCTTTGCTTTTGCATGCGAACTGGGACTCCTGGTGGTCTCTGGGTGTGGGGGGGAGAGGGGGGCTCATGATGCAGGTATAACAATAAACAAATATATTATCTGCTCATGACAGTTGATAAATCTTATAGGTGTGAGTGGAGGCATTATCTACAGAAATTCTACTTACTTTTTTGAAGCAATAACTAACCTGATGTTAAATTCCATGCGAAACACTGAAAAGAAGATCTGTTCAGTAAACATAAAGCCCTTCCATTCGAACAACACAGACTTCGTCCCCTGAAAGACCACTCAAGAATCATTTCATGTTCAAATGCTTTTTTTTTTTTAATTACTAGCCATCTGTGGGCTCTGGATTGGCTTTCTGCTCTTGGTGCTTAAGCTTGTTCAAACACACTATTCTTGGTCTTGATACGTTTATGATACCGGATGAAATGCCCGATGAAAAAGAGAAAATGTTGTGGTAAACATTGGTGTTCTTGGGCGTCCTGAAGAGCCCCATGAAGTTAGTTACGGGAGGAATTAAAGTCAGGGAATCCTTTGGTTGGATTTTCGGTCTTGCTTTCCTTCGGTGTTCTTTCCCTGGAAGTAAGAGGCCACAGGTAAATGGCCCTGAAGTCCGGGGCCCCGACTATAATATGATTACTTACGATTTTCTTTGCCTAACTAAAATGGATACCAGCTCTCTGCAGATACTCCTGAAGAAATGCTCCTTTTCTCCTTTTAGAGAAATTTTATTTTGTGTGTACGTGCACACGCGTGCACACCCGTGTGAATGCGTGCACTGTGTGGGTGCCCACTGAGGCTGGAAGAGCGTGCCCCATTCCTCAGAACTGGACTTACAGGTGGATGCTGGGAACCCAACTCAGGCCTTCTAGGAGGGTGGCATTTGCTCTTAACCACCGGGCAGTCCTCTAAGCCCTGCATGCCTCTGTCTCCTGCTCTCTTTCTGAACTGGTGATGTCATAAATGTACCCACCATATAGGGTACTCTGACGCTGGCCCTTTCTAAGGTTGGCAGATTTAATCTGTGCATGAAAGTAATTCGTATTTATTCCTCGTTGCAGACCTGATAAGGCCTTGGCTAGGGGGTCGGCTGTTGATTACATGCAGCGCCGTTGCAGAGCCCATGCTGCGTTCCCAGCATGCATACAAGGTCATGCACAACCTCCTGTAACACCATCTCCACTGGCTTGGAGCTCCTTCCCACCACGTAGGTTCTGAGGAACAAACTCAGGTCATTAGGCTTGTGGCCAGGTGCTCTTACACACTGCTCCGTCCTGCCAGAGAATTCCTTGGCATTTGATAGTAAGGAAGACTTTAAATGATTCATGCAGACTTATAAAGGAAAGGTGTCTTTTGTGTGTGGAATTACAGACCAGATGCTTTCTGGAGGGTTGTCTCCACATTTTTAACTTTAAAAGATGGGATTGCTGGTTGGTAGGTTATCTTGACACACACCTAGCCATAACTGAAAAAAAAAATGCTAATATAACACTGGCCTGTAGGCAAACCTGTGGGCATTTTCTTCATTTATGATTGATGCGGGAGAGTCCTGCCCATTGTGGCTGGTGCTATCCCCTGGCTAAGTGCTCCTGGGTGTGTAAGAAAAGAAACTTGAGTAAGGCAGAAATCGGCTCTTGTCCATGGCTCCTGCCCTCATTTCCCTGGATGACTTGGCTGCGAGATGTAAGGTGAACTAAATCCTTCTCATTCTGAGTCACCTTTGGTCTGGTGTTTGTTTTGAATCAGAGCAAAAGAAACCCTAAAGCAGAATTACAGACTGCTGGGAATAGCGGGTGTTAAAGAAAGAAAAGAAAAACTACTACCTTTTTTAAAGACAGGAATTACAGATGGTCCTCCATTCTTTTCCAGGCTAAAAGGAGAAAATATCAAATAATTAAATGAAGACATAGCGTGTATACCCAAAAACCATGAATAAAGAAAGATTCTAGGGTACCATGTTCAGGGGCCTAATGGTCTCTGTCATACATGTATAAAACTGCATGCATGCTACCTGCAGATACCTTATATTTGATCACTTATTTACTCATTTCAAGCATTAAATACATCTAAAATGGAATAATTATTATGTTTGAGGTGATGGAAAGAAAGAACTCAAACCGAACTTTGAGGCAGATAAAATTGAATAGGAGCATTTTCCATTCCCCACAGCGTTATGGGAATGTACAAAGTCCAAATCATTTGTACTAAATTAAATTTATGAAAAATAAATAAATTAATTTAACAAATTATTATAACCAAAGTTCAGATTGTGTTTTATATTAATTTATGTAGTTAATTTTGCATACTTAGTTTTCAAAGGATTCTTGAAATAGACTTACCTTTTCCTATACTTAAAATTGACTTATATAACCACAGTGTACATTTGGGTCCCCTCCCCTTGTATCAGAGTAATAATTTATCTTCAGTAGCTCTTACTTGAATGTTTTCCTACTTGGAAAGACTCATAATTCAGCTTTGTTCACAGTAAGATTTTTTTCATCCCCTATTTTAAAGACGTAGGTTGTAATGAAACTATGACGTTGAGATAGAATCAGTTGAGCAAAATGCTTGACAGACGCCAAAACTTGAGCCAGTGTGTCGTTTTAGCTGCTGCCTCTTATGCCAGAACTCCGCCCTTCATGTTGCTTGGATTTCTAAGCACTTTTCTAGAAAACATGGGTCCAATCTCATCCAGATTTTCCCCAGCTGAGTGGTAGCATCAACTGTGGCCCATGTCTATAGGGTCTCTGACCACAGTAACTGTTGCAACCTTCCTTTTTGTACTAATTTGAATCAGGACTTTCTGTTTGTAGCACTCTTCTTAGAAACAATTCTTTTTTTTTTTTCCGTTTATTTATTAAAGATTTCTGTCTCTTCCCCGCGACCTCCTCCCATTTCCCTCCCCCTCCCCCAATCAAGTTCCCCTCCCTTGTCAGCCCATAGAGCTATCAGGGTTCCCTGCTCAGTGGGAAGTCCAAGGACCACCCACCTCCATCCAGGTCTGGTAAGGTGAGCGTCCAAACAGTTCATGGTTCAGAAACAATTCTAACAAATCGGATCTTTCCTGGGCCTAGGTCTATGTACACACAACAGACTACATCAACCAGCGTCGACATAGCCCCAGCTTGTCTCCAGGCTGGGCAAGTGAACTTGACTGTTGCCCTGGATGGAACAGTGCAGCTGAAGTGAGTAGACACTGAGTACTTAACACTCACCCTTAAACAGAAACCTGCTGCCGGATCAAAACAGAAGACTCTCGGCATTCCAGAGTAAACAAAAGCAGGCTTTGCCAATGAACGTTCAAGGTTAAGTTTATACCCACAGGGTACCCATGCACGTCAAGACTGCACAAACACATTAGCGCGTTTGCAGGTACTAAACGTCACTTCTGCCATTTCTTATTAAGACGCGATAGATACCTTAAGGACGGAAGCCCCACGCTTTGCTGCATCTGGAACTCCTTCAGGAAGGCAGGGTTAATCTTGGCGTCTCTGCTGATGTTGTTCATTATACGCAGGAACTGGTTAGGTTTGTTCCTGCACTCAGCCAGCAGGATGCGGAACGCGTAAGCATTGTAAGATAGGTAGCCAAGGGCGCAGGAACACGCTGTGCGAACCTGAAATCACAAGAGGCTTTTTCACGTTTTCCTGATGTTTTGTTATGATAAAAATATAACGGACCTAAAATTTGCTATTTTGACTGTTTTAAAGCATGCAATTCGCCAGAGGTAAATATATTCATATACACTTTCTGAACATTATTTTGGGTTCAAGTCTCAGCATTCACTTTGAATTTTTAATCAACATACGAGCGGAGTGTGTCCTGTAGGTAGCATGTGTAGAATTTCTCTATTCCAAAGTAGGTTTGTCACAACTTTATGAGAAGACACTTCTTAAGCAATGGGGCTGGTGTGGGAAATCCTTCTGTGTATGTGTTGCTTTTATTGGTTAATGAATACAACTGCTTTTGGCCAAGGGCTTAGCAGACTATAGCCAGGCTGGAAAAGATATAGAGAGAGAGTAGGAGGAGTCAGGAGAAGTCATGTAGCCACCCGCAGGAGACAGACACCCCGGAACCTTGCCGGGAAGCCATGGCCATGTGGCGATGCACAGATGAATAGAAATGGGTTAGTTTAGGATATGAGAGCTGGCTAGAGATATGCTTAGGCTATTGGCCAAACAGTATTGCAATTAATATAGTTTCTGAGTGATTGTTTTGAGGCAGGGCAGTCGGGAAACAAACTAGCAGCCTCCCCCAAGAACAGGCTCTGAAGGCTCAGGGATAATTGCAGCAGAAGTGACTACAGGGGGCAGTGCCTTCTGCACACAGCAGGGCGGCTCTCGGTGGAAACACACAGTAGTTTCAGTAGCATGCACAAAGCCTCCCAGCGTGGAGAGGGGAGTTGAGCACACAGTCCCACCCACGGCCATGGAGCTATTGGCAATTGGGAGTTGCTGGGATAGGGAGAGGTTTTTTTTTTTTTGTTTGTTTGTTTGTTTGTTTTTTTCTCTAAGAGTTTAGTAGCCCCTGGTAAGTCAAAGACCCACATTCAGGATATTTGAGCAGCACCAATTGGTCTTGATGGGCTTTTAAAAAGGACTCAAAGTTGTGTGGGTAGGGGCATGGGAATGGGTATGGGGAAAGCGGGAGAGGTGAAGAGGTGAATATGATGTAACACTTGGTATGGTATTCTTAAGAAAACTAACCAAAATTATCTAGCTCAGACTCTAACTAGCTACTTCTTCAGAAAGGTCTGTTGGACCTGAGTTTGGTTCCCACGACAACCCAAGGCAGCC